AACTGTCGTGACAAACGTTTTCCTCCTTTGGCAATCCTAAGTTGTGGCGCTAAACCATGATGATACATAACGCACTACCTAGTCATTATTACGCTTGGTAAAAGAAGTGTCTATAATGATAAGGTATTCAGAAAAGTGGACAACTTAACCTGGGCGCAACGGGTTGAGAGACACTGGGAAAGGTCAAGAGCAGCACTTTGAAATCCGAATATAATATCCATGATTTATCGACATTAAAATTGCAGATTTTTCCTTCTCATGTAGTTAGAGTGAAGGAAAGCGCGGCTAGGTGGTAGTGGTCGAGGTCCCAAACTTGGTCCTCGTAACTGTACCGCCATTTTAGACCTGTGCCAACTATAGCCGAGGCAGCCCAGAACTGTGACCCCCTCGCGCAGTCTGGCTCAGTCTGGCTCAGCCCAAGGCGGCAGCCGCTCAGTTCCGAAGAAGGAAAGGGAAATTCATGGTGTCGATTTTAGGGTCGTGAACTGGGTGTTTCTGGATCACCCAGTGGATTTTCTACATCGCACAGTCCGGGACTATCTGAGAGACTGTTACTACGAGGAACTACTCAAGGAAGTGCGGTCCAATTTCGATCCTCTTGTCTCTCTCGGGAACATGATGCTCTTTCTTCTGAAGAGCCTCCCCCTAATCGAAGCCTGGAACGCATCATACATTACACGACTCTTTCAAATCGTCGGATGAACTATCATCTACTCCTTCATGAGGCTGAGAAACGGAGCACCTGTTCAGAGTCACCTCTGGCCTTTGCCTTGGACGAAATGGACAAAGTTAACAAGTTTTTCACGGTGAGATCCATGCGAAACCACTGGACTCACCTTCGAGACATGCCTCAAGCACGAGGTCTCGACGAGTACCGAAAGGGGGGAAACTGTACCTTCTTGGCCCTGGCCATACAGGCTCGACTCACCAAGTATGTCAAGACAAAACTAGACACCGAACCAGGCACTCTGAGAAGCAAATCGGGAACGCCTTTACTGGATTATGCTCTCCGCCCGAGAAGGGTCACTCCCATGACGATGCGGTACCACTCGGTAAGAGATGAGTGTGGAATTGACATCGAAATGGTTCAGTTACTCTTGGACAGGGGCGCAAATCCGAACCAGCAAGTTCATCTCAACGAAGGGAGGACTGTATGGGCGCTCTTCTTGGTGTCCTGCTATGAATCAACCCTCAGGAACGAGGCTACCAAGCTGTTGAAGGAAGTATGGTTCCGTGTTTGCAAGTTGATGATACGGTATCATGCAAGCTCTACGGCTTGGTTTGACAACAATACAAGCAAGCCACTGACTGTAGAGGGCATACTCGGGGTGTTATGGTATGGTGTAGATTGACAAAGTGCTACACAGAATAAAACTACTACGGCCCTGCAGGCCCAGAATATAACCACCAGGGAGCAACCAGAATGGTAGGCCCACATAACCTCAGTGTGACGAACCCCTGTACAGAACCTCTGAAAGGGATACTGGTTGAAGGTAACTTCTGATAATTGGTTCGGTGCAGCTAAACAGTGCACAATAAGATGTCTCAATGTAAACACTAGATACCGTGAATACAAGCTGAATTGCATACTGCGGAACTGTCTATCTACACCAGCCAGTTCCTCCCTATATATAGACCCTGTGCCAAGCCTGGCACTGTCCTGGATCGATAGACTCGACCCTCGATCCTATCGATATTGTCCCTTTTGGGGTTGACTCTCCTGGATCGATCCTCGATCCTATTGATCCTGTCCTGATTGGTCCGTGGTGCGCCCTGTGCCCCACCACGTGTCATTGGTCCGCGGTGCGCTCCGCGCCCCACCAAGTGTCAATCCGTGACACTCAGGCACAGTATATACTGTGACACGGGGAGGTGTTTGGACAGGACAAGAAAACAGAGCTACTAAGGTTGATGGAAGAAGCAAGGTTGCAAAGAAAGAGTGGATCTTGGCTTTCGTGGATTGGTCTGTAAGAGCGAGGCCAGATTGAATCCCGTGGGAACCATGCTGGTAGATACGTGCTGAATAAGAGAAGACAGATTGCTATTTGATATACACCCTGAGAAAGATTGTCGGGTTCTAGTTATGGATAGGTAGACCGTAGTAATGAGGCGGTAGAGGATAGTGAATAAGCTAGGTGGGTATCAGCATTGTTACTTAACTTACCTGGTGTGATGGAACCCAGACAGAGATTATGTGCATCCAGGTCATGAACTTCATGTTCGGACCGGCTGCCGCCATGCGGTTCTGTTGGTGCAGAACCCAAGCCATGTCCACTAGAGGATGAAACATGAGAGCGGGGTCACCCATCACTGGCTTGGTATTGATGCACTGCCTGCATAGTGCCATCGGCGCTGCTTACGCTTTGTCATGAACAAGAACTTTCCAGGGTTGAAAACTTGAATTTTGACGTTGGTTGATAGCGGCCGGCATTCCAAAGTTCCCACGGTGGAGAATCACACCTAAGGTACCTTAGGGTCATACCTTAGCTTACTCATGTGTCACTGCAAGCACCAATAAAGTGATGGTCTCGCGAGCCCTCATTCATCACCCACGTACCTTAGTCCAGTGTGATTTCACTCCATCTCTTCATCCACCCTCCTTGCCATTCTTTCTCCGAGCAACACCATCACCAACTTCAGCAGCATGGCGTCTCCTTCCCCCGTGAGTGAATGGCTCACTGAGCGGCCTTACACGGCAACTTTCATAGCCATCGCCATGATGCTCCTCCCTACCATCTCACTCCTCCGCTCATCTGGCGACAAAACCGCGGTTCCCAAACTCCCTTCCACCATCCCCTATGTCACAAACACATACCACTACATGACAGACATGAAGACATTCTACGAGCGCTCCAAGTAGGTCCCTCCCCCTTCTACTCTTTTCAGCTTCACACTAACCCCCCCATTTTTCAGAGTTCAGCTCCGAAAAACTTCCAAAAATATCCTCGCCTGGAACCTCACACCCTGGATGAAAGTCTACCTCGTCACCTCCCCGCGCCACATCCAAGCCCTCTTCCGACCCAATCCCGCCATTTCGTCAGATAAATTCTTCCGCCTGATCTATGAGAACATGTGGGGTGCTTCCCTTGCCGACCGCGAAAAGTTTCTCAACGACAACTCTGGGCGAGGGAAGGTGCCGTTGCCGGGCTATGAAAACGTTCCTCCTGAGCAGAGGTACTTTGCGGGGCTGCATGCCATTTTCCATGATCACCTCACTGCAACGGCCAAGTCGAATATGCTCGCAGCCATATACCAGCGCTTCTTTGCGGAAGAGTTGGAAGGGAAGTTTCCGGTGCGTATTGACCTTGGATCTCCTTCCAAAACAACCAACCTGCACTGACCATTGTTGCCATCATGACTCTAGCTCGGAGAAGGCGTTGTCGAGGGCGTCCAACAACTGTTGAATGTCCACATGGCAACCGCAGCAACAGCAACCCTAGCCGGCAAAGGCATCCTCGCCCGCTGGCCAAAACTAATCGACTGGTTCTGGGACTTTGACAAAGTCGCCGCCAGCCTTGTCTGGGGTCTTCCGCGGTGGATGAACCGCTCCGCTCTTGAAACTCGGGACAGTCTTCGCCACGCCTGCAAACAGTACATCGAGGAAGAACTCGCAAAGGGCTTCGATCTAGAGGCTGACCACGGCAACTGGGAGCCAATCATGGGCTCGACCTTCCAACGGGAAATGATGCGGTGGATGAAGCAAGGCGGGTTCAGCACCGAGGCGATGGGTGCCTCGACCATGTTAACGATGCTCTTCGGAACAAACGCCAACAGTATCCCCGTCACGGTTTGGTGTCTGATGGAGGTCATCGAAGACAAGTCACTGCTCGAGGCTGTCCGGGAGGAGGTCAACACCGTGCTGGAAACCGACCCCGATACAGGAGCACGCACAATCAATATGCAGAAACTGCTGGCGTTGCCCCTTTTACAGTCCATCTATGTAGAGTGCATACGCCTCCACGTCTCCATGAACGTCACCCGCGAGGCGATAGCCCCGGTCAAGCTAGGGGATTTTACCCTTGACAAGGGATCGCTCATCCAAGCCTGCACCGAAATTTCCCATCTTGACGAGGAGGTTTGGGGCGACGAGGACCATCCCGCGACGGAGTTTTGGGCAGCACGACACCTCAAGTACGTCGACGAGACAGACGAAAATGGCAACGTGAAGAAAGTGCCGCAGTTCTCCATGGCGGGAAGGCAGAATGATTGGTTTCCGTATGGTACGTTTACTTAACCCTGCATTTACCTGGTGATGCTTACACCAGACACCTAGGCGGCGGTATCTCGATCTGTCCCGGACGACACTTTGCCAAGCAAGAGATCATGCTGACAACAGCCATCATTGTGGCGAGATTTGATCTCGAATTGGTCGAATGGGTTAATAAAGACGGGACTCCCTCTGACAGACCGGCGCAAAACGATGTCAAGTATGCTGGTGCGGCTTCTGTGCCGCCTGATCGGGAGATGAGGGTGCGGTTTACGCGTCGATGGTAATTGCGGTTCTTGGCTACCTATCTTTAGACACCTTTTGAATATCTTCAGAGGTCTGTAAGCTATCTTTAGGTGTAGGTTTATGCTGGTCATCTTTTGAGGTGTGAATCTGGATATTCTGTTGGGTTAGCTTGACTTTTTTTTTTTACGAGTTCATCCATCTGTCTGATGCCAGCAAGATATATATTTCAACTCGAGCTCAAAGGAACCAGTCCACGTCCAGCTCGGCCGGAAAAGGCAACGTCTGTCTTTTAGGCAGGTACTGCAGTAGCATGAGAGACACCAAGTGCGCACTCCCTTGCACTAGCCTGGTATTCCACAGAGCAACATGATGATGTTACATCGAAGGTCTGTTGAGTTCTGACAATGAGAATCCTCGTGCTGACCGGTGTAATACCTTGGCTGTGCCTTTCTTACTAGGATGTCAGAACAACAACTGCAACTTCACGTTGTAATTCTGATTGTAGTCCTTATTCCAGTTCTTTGCCATCTTCATCGAAACACTCATCATGGCCAAGGTCAACAATGCCATACATCCCAAGGGTGACACAACAGGCACCACAAACAGAGCCTCAAATCCCTCCATATCACCCTCTGAATCAACAACCCACGCCGACCCAGAACCCCCTTACTCAACCTTCATCACCCCTTAAAAATCCTCATCACCCTCTCAGTCACCTTCCTCGCCATCATCTCCCCGCTATCAGGGCATATGAACCTCCCTGCCCTCTCCGCCATCTCTGTGGACCTACACATGTCCCTGTCGTTAACAAACCTGACAATAACAGTCTACACCCTTGTCTCAGGGCTGACACCGTCCCTTATCGCTCCGTTTTCTGATTCCTACGGCCAACGACCGGTGTATCTTTTCTCTTTGGCGTTGTGCGCACTGTCTAACATAGGGCTTGCGCTGCAATCCTCCTTTCCGGCCTCGATATCGCTATTATGTGTCCAAGCTGCTGGAGCTGGAGTCACAATCTCCCTGGGGAGTGCAGTCGTAGCGGACATGATCACCAGAGCCGAAAGGGGAAAATACATCGGCTATGCTGCGCTGTGGTTGACTCTCAGTCCTGCTCTTGCACCGGTGCTGGGAGGGATAATGACGGAGTATCACGGCTGAAGGGGGACATACTGGTTTCTGCTTGGGTTGTCGGGGGTCATTCTTGCTCTAACGTTCTTGCTCTAACGTGGCTGCTGTTGCCGGAGACAGGAAGAAACGTGGTAGGCGATGGGTCAGTGAGACCCGAGAGACGGTGGAGTAGGACGGGATGGGATCTACTGAAGCACATCAAGAGGCACGAGATGACAGAGGAGGAAGAAGGCAGACATACCATGGAGGAGGCAGCAGAGAAAAAGGTCAGCATACACACCTCAGTGAGAATACTGGGAGAGAAGGAAGCGTTTGTGACAGTAATGGCTGGGGTGCTGTTCTCGGGCGGGTATTTCATGGTGTTGATCACGCTCGGTTCTCAACTTTCTGAACGGTTCAGTTTCCGTCCCATAATCGTGGGTGTGTGCTACCTGCCGCTGGAAACCGGAATGATCGCATCACGATGGACAGTAGGATGGCTTCTCGACTGGAACTTTGGACGATGGGCACGGAATTTGGGTTTGAAGTTCGATCTAGACAGGCAGCAGCGGTTAGAGGAGGTTCCTATCGATAAGATACGACTGGAAGTTGCGTTGGGTGCGTTATATGTTCTTTTTGGGACTGTTGTGGCGTACGGGTGGACCGTGAAAACGAAGTCGTCGTTGGTTGGGATCGAGATTGCTCTCTTCTTCTTGGGAGTGTTCTTTGCTGGAGCGATCAATGGGCTCAATGTTCTTGTCATCAACACCCATCCCGACAGCCCAGCCACGGCGGTTGCAGCGAGTAAATTAGTACGGTGCGTGGTCGCTGCTGGGGCTAGTGCAGTCGCGATGCCTATTATAGAGCGAGCTGGAATGGGGTGGGCGTCAGCGAGCATCGCCGGGGCATGGTTGGGGTTTAGTCCGCTGTTGTGGATGGTGATGTATTGCGGAGCAAATTGGAGACAGGATGTTAAACTGAGAAGTAATGAAACTGGAAGAGATAGAGCTTAAGTAGCAAAAAAGCCTTGCACCATTGAGAGGGTGGAAGCACAAAGATGATATATCGGGAGGAAAAAGCAAAAGAAGATGCCCAATAACAGGATTGAACTGTTGACCTTCGCATTACTATATGCTGTTTCCAGTATTAGTACGACGCTCTAACCAACTGAGCTAATCGGGCTTGGGTGATTGATGCATTGTGAGCTGGAAGATAGAGTAGTTGAGTGGGCCACTGTAATTGATGGTTACATTTTCGTTGACGGCTTTATGTCAAAGCTTCCCCGTTATACCTATCCACGATGAATGGTCCATGTTAGACAGAGGGAAAACCTTACGTCGGAGTCAGGTCGGGTCTCAGTAATCAGGCTTACACCGGACATATCTCGGTTCGGCTGCTGGTCAACTTAGTAATCCCGGATTAGAAACCAAGACGGTTACAAATGCTTGTGCGAATTAGAGCTGTGAGATTTTGATGTGGCGTTGCACCGATGCTACCGATCTATCGGAATACCCGGTGTGGAGCATGACGCCATTGAAGCAGCAAAATCTGATTCGCAGGTTCTCGATGACCATGAGAGGTCAGCATCTTTGGCCATCAGGAAAAACATTGGAATTCCGGTAGTGCAGGCATGTCAGGGCCATCATTACTCCACACCTGGAACTGTTTCGAAGCTGCAAAAAAGTCTTGGAAGTCAACAACCTTCTCCACGCCTGCGACGTGGTGATTTATAAGCCTGTTTCAACTACTATAAAACCATGCTTTCGCCTTCAACAACAAAAAAAAAATCATTTTACCTACAACAGCATATAGATCACGACAAGATACCCTGAAGCATCTCTAATCACACTTCACCCTCACCCAACTACTACAACAAGAAATAAACCAAACGCTCAACATGTCGGACTCAAAACTTTTCCAGCCGCTCAAGCTCACCCCCTCCATCACCCTCAAACACCGCATCGCCATGGCGCCACTCACTCGCTTCCGATCCAGTGACGAGCACGTTCCAATTGTTCCTCTCATGAAGGAATACTACTCACAGCGCGCCTCCGCCCCCGGTGGGACTCTTTTGGTAACAGAAGGCACCTTCATCTCCCCCACCGCTGGTGGCATGAACAACGTCCCGGGTATTTGGTCGAAGGAGCAAATCGCTGCTTGGAAAGAGATCACAGACGGCGTCCATGCCCAAGGCAGCTTTGTCTACCTCCAACTCTGGGCACTTGGCCGTGCCGCCCTCGGTGACGTCGCCAAGGCGGAGGGCTTCACCGTCAAAGCACCCTCAGCCATTGCCATCCCAGATACCGACGGTGTTGTTACCCCAGAAGAGATGACAATTGACGATATCAAGCAGAAGATCGCCGAATACGCCCAAGCCGCCAAGAACGCTATTGAGGCCGGTTTTGACGGCGTTGAGATCCACGGTGCCAACGGGTACCTCGTTGATCAGTTCATCCAAGATAACTCCAATCAGCGTACCGACGAGTATGGTGGTAGCATCGAGAACCGCTCCCGCTTTGCCGTCGAGGTTGTTGACGCCGTTACTGCCGCCGTTGGAGAGGAGAAGGTCGGCATCAGACTCAGCCCTTGGAGCGTCTTCCAGGGCATGAAGATGAAGAACCCGGTTCCCCAATTCTCCGATGTCATCAGAAAGATCAGCGAGAGACACCCCAACATGAGTTACCTGCACTTGGTGGAGACAAGAATTGCCGGCAACAGAGATGAGGCGAACGACAATGATGAGGAGAGATTAGACTTCGCGTTGGATATCTGGAAGGGGCCAGTTCTCATTGCTGGCGGGTTGACACCAGAGACTGCCAGGAAGCTGGTTGACGAGGAGTTGAAGGAGAGGGATAATGTGGTGACGGTGTTTGGCCGGTACTTCATCTCCACGCCAGACATCGTTTTCAGAATCCGGGAGGGTATCGATCTGAACCAGTATGACAGGTCGTCATTCTACATTCCCAAGAGCCCCAAGGGGTACATTGATCAGCCATTTAGCAAGGAGTTTGAGAACGTTTACGGCCAGGGGATCAAGGCTTGGATTTAGATTTACTTTTTTTTTGCATAGCGAGCGGGTTGGATAAAGTACATGAATAGAAAGTAAAGATTTTCAGCGTCAACAGCCTGTTTCCCCTAAATCGCTTTCTACGTCAAAATCAAAGACAAGAAAATTTGAGTGTGCCACCGGACAGCGTCCCGAAATTCCTAGATCAGTTAAGAGTTTCCCGACTCTCCGAAGAGCTCAAACCACTTACCTTCGTGATCGGAGGGACTGTTTTCTTCACCGAGCGGTCTTGCAATGATCAGAGCCTTGGTAGCTGTAATCAACCTGGTAACATTGCTTCGCCATTCCTTCACCGCTACGTCAGCCTCTTGGCCTTCTACCACTCAGCCTTGTTTTTAAGCCAAGTGTTGAACTTCAACCACATTGACCTATCACATCAAGACATAACGGCTTCGTGGTGGAGGCTGTCACAGTATATACTGTGCCTGGGGATATGTGGGGCTACCATTCTAGTTGCTCCCTGGCCTGCAAGGCCATAGTGGTTAAGTCCTGTATAGTACTTTATTAATTCACACTATACTAAAATAGTAAGTGATACCTTCAGCTACAACGGTCGCTAGTAGTGGTTTGGGGTACGGCCACAGGTTTGAGAGTATGAGTAAGGAAGCGGGGCTCTCAGAGGACTCAGGGGTTCAGGGGGGCCATGTATATAAGCGGTCTGCTTCGGACATTCTATTTTAGACAAGACATCGACTTTATTTTTCTTCGTATTTTGCGCCTTGCACGCGTGTAGGCAATTCTGGCCCTCTGATCAGGCCAATCCGGTGCTTATTATGTGGCCTGCGAGCCCATAGTGTCTTTTCTTTGTCCTACGTGAAGTGCGGCCTGCGAGCGAGCCACTGTCACGCAGGTGTGTTCATTCTGAGACCTGTTGAGGGTATATTTGTGGTGTTGTGGTTGTTTTGTGTGTTTTCTCGCCATTTCAACATATACGGAGGAACTGGCTGGTATAGATAAACAGTTCCGCAGTATGCAATCACAGCTTGTATTCACTGTATCTTGTGTTTACATTGAGACATCTTGTTGTGCACTGTTTAGCTGCACCGAACCAATTGTCAGAAGTAGCCTTCAACCAGTATCCCTTTCAGAGGTTCTGTACAGGGGTTCATCACATAAGGGGGTATTGATTCGATATTGATAATGGTATAGGTGCTTACAAATGTGTGGGAAAATAGCTTGTTTGGAAGTACTGTAACTTTGAAGAAAAAATAGATTAAATGTCTGTTGTTTTCTTCCTATCGGGTTAGTAAGTCACACGCTAATAATAATAAAGGCTGGATAGGTATACACCAAAAGCCTAGCCAACAGATCTGCGAAACCACGCAACACTTCCAACAAATCAGGTAACAATCCAGTCGATCGTTCCCAGACCCTGGAGGTTTGGGGCTTATAAAACGGGCAGTGCAGTTGGAATGACTTCTGTCAGCAAGTGAACTAAGGCAACAATAACATTTTGAATCTTCTTTGTGTTCCCAATGTCACGGGATCTGCGTTCTTCATTCCTCAGAGCTTTATTTTTAGCGAGCGCCAAGTAACCGTTGAACCACAACGTCTGAGACATTCACCATTGACCCAAGGAGATTTTGCAAACGGCCGCCGCTGATGATCTTTGAGGCACTGTGGAGGCAGTCAGCACAATGTCATTCATTCCAGAGCGCTCTCATCACAGTGTGAGAAAAACTCGGTAACAATCACAATGGTGGTGTGGCTGCATCAATCACGCCCAAAACCCGACCCGTCCGTTCCATCCTGGCTGGGAACGGAATCCTCTTCCTGCAGCGAAACGTGCAGAATTCACATGTTTCTCCCGCCTTTCGCACCTCCTCGGTAGGTTGCTCTTGGCAATCGTGAAAACAAGCATTTTTGTCAAGCAAAAGGTCTCGACAGCTGCGGAAAGGGACACCACCACCAAAAGTAAGGACAAAAGGGTGATGGGAATGTGGAAAACGCGGGGAAGACTAGGGCCTGATCCGATGCCTTGTTGAAGGAGACAACAGTTCGTGAAAGCAATCCCTGCTTCCAGCAAGCCCACTGTGACAATCGCAAGTCCCACTGTCCAGTTTGGCAGTCGGAATCACCCAACGATCAGCCAACTCAGCCAACTCACACCGCTTCTGCTCTAGTCCAGCTTGCAAAAGCCAGCAAAGCTGAAGGTGAAGCCCGAAAGCACGCGTTCCATCCGCCGAAGGCACACAAGCCATAAAAGTGTCCCGGGACCAATCAGCTACCGCTATCTAATCTAATCAATCTACTATCGAATCTTTGCATCCACATCTCACCCATCATCCCACTTTCTCAGTTTTCACTTGTCACAATCTCACCACCTCTCACCTCCTCTTCTCTCATCGCCATCGATTCTTTCTCAAACCTCGCAAAATGCACCGAATCAGCAACAACATTAACCAATCTCCCGCATGCAGGTACACCACAGTACCCTCCCCAAACTCACACGTTGCGCGACTGTCAAAAAATCCGTTGGGGCAGCGCGGGGGAAGACACCTCTAACTCGGAGGAACTAACCCTCTACAGCCTAACGCCAGTCAAAGCCCCCGCATCACAAGCTTCTGACGCCAAACCTCGGTATCCATTGCTTTTGGGCATGTCGACGGCGACGGCGACAACCCCGATCCGCCCCTTGCCAAAACCAAAAAAAACCTGGAGAAAGTAACATTTTCTCTGCTGGGCAGAAACAGTGATCGGCCTTGTCCAATTTCCGGAGTCTGCAGCACAGTGATTGCAGGCAATGTGTGAAGTTGGGGATAGAACCCACGTTGCTGGAGAGAGAATTGCCCCTGTTGATCTTCAAACACCACCACACCCACCATCAGTCAAAATCATGCGTTTTGGTGTGTTTGAAACGTACATAGGTAAGATGTCAGTGAGCTTTTGTGAAAAATCAGGGGAAGGAAGTCGTTTGCGAGATGGCATGAAGTGATGATGATGTTCAGCGTGAAGGTGTGGGATTATCAACGAAGGATCAAAGTGGCTAAACCGCATCGAGATGTTCTTTGTTCCTGTGTTGTGGTTGGTTGTCGTGGCATCAACCCCTGAACAATGTCAACACACGGGATACCGTCCGTCGGGTGCGGCCCGCGATAATGGATGTTGGCAGCCGTTTGTCGCACGGCTTCCACCGGTCTGTTCATCCGTCTGTCATTCCAGTCCCGTTGGAAGTTTATTTAGACTTCAGCCTCACAAATGTAGACGGTCAAGAGTTGTGTCCACAATGCCACTAAGGTGTCCGGCTTAACTTCACCACTCGGATTGTAATTGTAGGTGCAGAATATCCCTTATTGTGGCCACTTTCTAGCGTACCCGATTGAAACCAAGAAACACGAGGATGACCAAGATGATCCAGGCTGCATAAACCCATACTTTGCCAGCCATGGATGTGCTTAAATGTACATGTACCTTTCCCAATATGATCATTAAGATAAAAGAAGCCACGCCATAACATGACATACAATGCATTACACATAAACCAATTTCGTCCTCCCTGACCAATGACCTCGACTAGCCTCAAGCCAGTCTCAGCATCATCTCGTTACTCTCTGGCTTCATCTCTGGTTTCCCTCCTCCCTGAACCCTTTTATAAAGCCAAGCCGCAAACTTGACCGAAGGCTCGTCCACCATCCTCGTCACAATATCCGCCACCCAAAACGTCAACGGCAACAAGATCAAATGCGGCACCAAAAACGAAAACTCCAACCCGATCGGCCCAACCTTGGGCAACGGCAACAAATCCCTCCACGCCGCCAGCATGTCCACCTCCCCAGCCTCGACCGGCCTCCCCCATCCAACAACATGATACAGCCGATCCCCCACCGTCGCCAAAATCGGCCCATGCACCAAATAAAACGCAAACGAAATCCTCCCCAAAAACTGGCAAAACCTCCCCTCAAACCACCTCCTCAACCACCCCATCCTCGGCACCGCCGCCACCAGCATATTCGCCGCCCAAAACAGATAAAACCACTTCGGATCGAACACCGCCTGCGGCTTGAGATAACTCAACCAATACCACCCCGGATTCGCCCTCAAATCCTCCACCTTGTTCGTCGCCGACGGCACCCCGGCAAGGTACATGCTCACCACAAAAAGATGATAGTAAATAAACGTCTTGTGCCTCTCCAACCTCCTCAGCCAACCAGGAAAATACCCCCCCTCCCTCCTCGCCAACAAGTCCAAATCCGCCTGCAACATCCCCGCGACAAACAACGCCCCGTAATACCCATCCACCACATAAAGGTAATACCCCACCAACACAACCAAACACACCAGTCTCGCCTTAGTCGTCGCCCGGGAGAGCGCCATGCAAGCCATGTAAGTGATCACGCTGCCCCTCATCTCAAGCGGTATCGACCAGGTATGCGTGTTCGCCTTGACCCAGATCCAACCCCCTTCTTTGAACAAGAACGAAAAGTTTTTGAACTCGACATACCAATTCCACAGCTCGTCCCCGAACGTCTCCTTGGGAGGGCAGGCAAAGTTCCAGTACCCAAAAAGATGCCACGAGGTGATGTAAACAAGCGTAGTGGCAATAATAGGCAGATACAACCTAAACCACCTCCGGAAAAACGCCGATGCCAAATTATCCGCCAGCTTGAGATGCTCCCCGCTCTGCATCAACGCCAGCGGCTTGACGGAAAGGACATAACCCGAGATGACATAAAACACGGCCACAGCCATGTGCCCCCCGGAAAAAAAGTTCCTAATGCCATAAAATGTCGACAGCCGAAACTCCCCGTCGAAGCCGTAGGCGTTCTCAAAGTAGACTGCAGACTTCAGGCTCTTCGCGCCGTGAGCCCAGAGCTGGTGGTGGTGGATGTACACCAGAAAGGCGGCGAACCCGCGCAGACCGTCGAGGTAGGCTGTTGGTCGGAGCTGTCGTGAAGAGCTGTCTGCCGAGGCGGCTTTTGGCCAGAGGATGTGCCGGAGGCCGCGGAGGATGGCTTTGAGGGAGAAGGAAGGGGCGGTTGACTTGACGGCGGAGGAGGAGTCGTTTCCCGTGCCGTCTAGGATGCCTTCGCGGAGGGAGTGCATTTTGAAGGCGGCGACATTGACTATCTGCCTGCCCGAGAGTGGAAAGTAGGTAAACAAAGATGTCGAGGTTCCGATCTGTCCGCTGTGGGCCGAAAAGGTCTCAGGAGATAAGCGCGGTAAGTGCCGGAGGGAGGGAGGAGGGAAAAGTCGTTTTGTCGTCGACTTTGCGGTTCGGGAACCAGTGAGTGCGTACGACTCCGAGACCACTCAGCTGGAAAATATTCTTCAGGGGAAAAAGAAGAAAATCCACCGAGAGCCAGCGGTCGGACAGAGAGAATCAAGAAAACACTGTGGCACCGTCGGGGTCTTGAAGTTGAAGCGGGATTGGCGGGATCAACACCGGATAAGCCTACCGGGTTTTCAGATGACAGCAACAGTTCGTATCAAAACGCACGCTCCCCCTCTCTATCTACACGAGAAAAAGCGGAAAAATCACAAGCAGAAACTGCAAACGCGGGGAACAAACTGATCATGACGAAATAATTAACCATCGTCTGTCGCCCGCCGTATCTGCGTTCCAGCGGAGAGGCCATGGCAAGCTGGAAGCCAGGAAGCACCTGCACTGAGATCTTGATTTCAACGCCCGCCCAGGTAGCCTAGCGAGACAGGGTGTCAGGGTCCAGGGGGGGGGGGGTGGTGCATGGTACACCAGGCGAAATCTGGGGTGTGCCTGTCTACACAGTGTGCCATAGCCCCGACCGATGATTGGCTGATAGCGCACAGGCCAGTCCCACACAAGTCTACCAAAACGGCAACGACCGATCGCGTCGAGCAGGGGTGGGCAGCTTGGTGAGCTTAGCCTGCTTTGCAGTGGGGCACCGCTCCCGCAACCGGGCAGGGGATTCGGTTTTTGGAAAAACAGCCCCTATCGTGTCTGACAGATCTCACTGGCTGACGGCCGGATGGGACACTCACGAATGCCAACGGCATGATTGGATCAGCAAGAGTCGCGGCAGCTTTGCCACGAATCAAGCACTCATCAGAGTAGAATTAAAACCTGCACGAACCTGTAGAAAACAAGAGCGAGAGTGGTGGGGAAGATAGCGAAAACAGCTGTCCATGGCCTGCCCCTGGTGCCCTGGGCGTGGACGGTGTCAGAAGAATTTTCTCGGGCCTCCATGATTGGATCTGGGGCCTGGGGACCCCGGCAAGGTGTCGGCGCTAGGTGACCAAAATGGCCGCGCCCATGATGAATTTCCCGCGCGAGTTTGCATCCGGCAGAGGCAGACACCGACTGGTGCCAGTGCTGACAAGATAAGGAACCACTTGGCCGCCGATTGGAGGGGCCTAGACCTCTCTCTTGCTCTCTCTCTCTCTCTCCTACCTGACCTCGTGATACTGCTACTCGTGTATCCTCCTCTTCTCTCTTCCACTTTTTCCTTCGTCTCGAGACCTCACCTCCTGCTCGTCTCGTCTTGTCTCGTCACATTCGCTTTTTCGCTCGAGAGATACATCCCAGTGGGGACTGGGGTCAGGCGTTGTCGCCCAACGGCACTTTTCCAGACTACGGCACACCGACTCGTCAGCCAGCTCACGACTCCAAGTACTGTTGTCTGGCCGCTCTCGCTATTTTCCCACGTCGTACCACCGGGAAACCACGATTCATTCACGGAATTGACGAGTAGCTTTACTTTCGCTCGAACAAATATCGGGTCGCCCAGCATGATGTCCAAGCTTGGTTCCCCATTGGGGTCGCCAACCTTGGCCGCCACCACAGCTCAGTTCCGCAACCGCCTACCAACACAGTTCCGCCGTTGCCTCCCAATATACGTTGCCGCCATCATCCTCATCTTCTTCACCTTTAACCTGAACCTTTTCCACTCGCGTGTTCGCGAAGTCACCTCGAACGCCGCCGCCCTCGCCCGTCCACCGGTCCCGGTGGTAGCTGCGCCAACTGTGCCCATCACGCCAGTAGGACCAGCTCAGACCCCCAAGGCCGTCCGCACCGAGTTCCCCAGAAAGATTTGGCAGACATGGAAGGTCAACCCTCTCAGATTCGAGGAGCGTGACATCAATACCGCCCGCTCATGGGTTGGCAAGAACCCCGATTACCGATACGAGGTGTTGACCGACGACAATGACATGAAGTACGTCGAGTGGCACTTTGGCCCCGAGGGCTTCAACCGCCCCGACATTGTCAACTTTTACCGCGACGTCAAGGCTGCCATTGTCAAGGCCGATCTCCTCCGCTACATCGTCATGTATGCCGAGGGTGGTCTGTACGCCGATATCGATGTCGAGGCCTTGAAGCCTCTCTCCAAGTTCATCCCCGACCGTTACAACGTCAAGGATATCGATATGGTTATTGGCGTCGAGATTGATGAGCCTGACTGGAAGGATCACCCCATTCTTGGTCCCAAGTCGCGTTCTTTCTGCCAGTGGACCTTCATGTGCAAGCCCCAGCTGCCCGTCATGATGAGACTCATTGAGCAGATCATGACATGGCTCAATGGTGTTGCCAAGGAGCAGAACGTCCCTCTTGCCGACGTCAAGCTCGATTTCGACCAGATCATCAGCGGTACTGGTCCGTCTGCCTTCACCACCGCCATTCTCGCCGAGATGGATCTTCACAAGGAGGACCCCAACATCAAGGTCGACTGGGATCTCTTCCACGACCTCCAGGAATCTAAGCTCGTGAGCCGCACCCTCGTCCTCACCGTCGAGGCTTTTGCTGCCGGCCAAGGCCACTCGGATTCAGGCAACCACGACGCCAGAGCTGCTCTCGTCAGACACCACTACCACGCTTCCAACTGGCCCAGCAGACATCCCCGCTACAGCCACCCTGCCTATGGTGAGGTTGAGAAGTGCAACTGGAACGATGAGTGCGTCAAGACCTGGGACAAGAACGTCGAGGCCTTTGCCAAGATGACCGAGGAGGAGCAGAGGAAGATTGTCGCGCAGAAGGAGCAAGAAAGGAAGGAGGCCGCCGAGAAGGCCAAGGCTGAAGAGGAGAAGAGAAAGAAGGACCGTGAGGAGGCCGAGAAGAGGAAGAAGGAGGAGGAGGAAAAGAAGAGGAAAGAAGCCGAAGCGAAAAAGGCCGAAGCCCAAGAGGCCAAGCGCAAGGAGGAAGAGGAGAAGAGAAAGGAGGAGGAAAAGAAGGGGTGGCTGCATTTTTCATGAGCATTTTTCTTCTGCGAACAGCATCATCAGGAGCCGGAGAGTGTTTGCTTCAAGAGGCGAAGGAATTCCGGGGAATAACAACTAATGACGAGACGGCGTCCTCGCTACACTTTGCTCGCCGGCAGTGACACCACATGGCCGAGCCGAGCTGGGAAAGGTACGGACGACGACAACGAGAGACGAAAAGAATACGAGCCCGGTGTATATGTCTCTGCCTTTACTGTAATATCAATTTGGGTGGGGGGTGAGGTTTGGGAATGGGGGGCGCTTCGGGTATGGGATGTTTGGATGGGAACTGACCTTGTACATAACTGCTCTTTCGCGTCAAGTGCGGGTACCTACATGATCGAAGAGCAAGTCCGCGCTGGTGTATTTGGGGCACCTTGGTCGCCGGCAGGACATTATTACGATACATTAATAGAAAAAATCCATAAGTGGTCGCAGTTCGCATGTTGATGTTGAAGGGATGACAGTTGCTGTCTGTGGGTTGATGGTGAGATGTGGCCAAGAGCAAGAATGTGTGAGGTCTCGATAAGAAACGGGCGGCATCACATGATGCCGAGCCACAGCAAGGGAGGCTCCAGAGCGCTTTTTCCCGTGTTCGTGACAGTTCGGACAATTGCTGCCGTCCATCAAACTCAGCTTTGACACCAAGTGACGTCTGCTGCCAAGAGCGCCCCCCACCTCGAGACATCAACGACGATGGCACCCCACGACGGGATGGAACAAAACGACAGCAAAATCACGTGGAATGATGCATACACACCCACACACACACACACACGGACAAGAGGATTGTTCAACACGTGCGACTACAGATAACCAACACGGGAGCCAGCATTATCACGTCCCAAAACCCAGTCCTGTGCAATGTCCTCTTGGTTTGACTGCCCGAGACGAGTCTGAGAAACTCGGTTTGGATGATCACGATTGTCCTTGACAACCTGGATGAATTTTATCCAAAGCACCCAAGATCATCCTTTCGTCTGATATCTCCACAAGTCAACACGGCATTGTTGTATCGGCTTCTGCTGGAAATGCCATGCGCCGAGCCTTGCCGCACAAGCAACACGGCAGAACCTCAAACATCACCCAAAAACTGCCAGCCAATTCCTGTCGCAAACAACAGTATGATCGCCGAGGGGCTCAACATCAACCACTATTTTGCCGGCTCCTTTGGTGATCACCTCATCACTGGTACCATCATGTGCATCCCTATAAGAAGTCTTCTTCGCCAACCCGGGAGTTGTTTCCTTTTCCTGATCTCCCTATCCACTCTTTTCTGACCGACCGGTTCGATCACGCTCTTTTTTTCACGGCGAGACCGTTAATTATCAATTTAATACCTTTGACACCGCTAGTCGGCTTCGCTTTTATCTTTCACCATGCAAACCAAGACCCTCCTCCTCGCCACCCTGGCCTCTGTTGCCTCTGCCCGTTTCGGACAGGAAGGCCTCGTCCAAAGCGTCATCCAAGCTCTCGGCGATTTCGGTCCCCCAGGCGCAGCTGGTACCCTCGCCGGCCAGACCCCCAGCGTGCTCCTTGCTGGCGCCAGTGCTTGTGCCAAGGTCCGTTACCTCCCTTTCACCTCATTTCTCCCTCCTGCTAACATTTCCCCTAGCTCGAACTGGCCGACGAGATTGTTGCCACCCTAGGCAACGACCCCCAGGTGATTGCCGGTGCCGCCGCCCTGGTTGCCGCGGAGAAGAACTTTAACCCTTTCGCTGTTGACATCCCCACCATCTGCAGCAATGCTGCTTTGCCGGCTACTCCTGAGTTGAGGGGAATCATTCCCTTGGTTGATCCTGCCGTGGAGGGGGCTGATATTCAGAATGCCAACTCGGCGGCGAGCTTGCAGGCTCCGTTGGCGGATGCGGGGTTGAGTGTGGCTGATATTTCGAGGGCGGCTGGGTTTGAGAATTTTGAGGAGCAGGCTTAGGCTTAAGGAGTGAAGCTCTAGCGGTGGCGTGTGTTGTGGATTGGAGAGAGGGGGAGGGGAAGGGTGGAATCGTACATGGTGGGATATCCTCACAGCTAACGAGAGAATAACGATGGGTAGTGCACTACATCAGCTGGGTCATCTGATCATCTTCACTATTCCCCCTTAAACAACAAGTACTAAACGAATGACATGGCAAACGTGCTTACCAGCCGGCACGCACCTGCGCATCACTCCCCCGGTTGCCCCCCAACAACACAACACGCCCCTTCTAGCAACTTGAGCTGTACCTATTCCAATTTGGGATTTGCAATAAACACGTCTCCCCTTGAGCAACCAAACTGCCAACCATGACATTCAGCAGAGTCCCACCCCAAAAACCACAGCGCTCTAGATTTCTGAAACGAGAACACATATCCAACTACCTTATGGAATCTCCAATTTCCAAACCAGCTCCGCCCTGCTTCCCCCCCGCCTGTCACCCCCTCATCAGTGACCAATCAGACCTAAACCTCCCAAGTCAGACCTTTGGCTCTTTAAACCTAACACGAAAAGCATTACCAACATCTCGTACCTGCTTCCAGCAAGGCGGCCTCCCAGGCTCGCCACACATCGGCTCCGGCTCACGCTTCTCTTTCCAGCAAGGCGGTCCGCCCGGCTTGGTGCAGCGAGTTTCCAGTTCAACATCGGGCGCCGGAGCCGGAGCTGGTTCTGGCACAGGGCTGCGCTTCTTCCAGCAGGGAGCGCCCCTCCACGGCTGGCACCGGGGCTCAACCTCGGGGACTACTGGCTCACGTTTCCAGCAGGGTGGACCGCCGGGCTTGGTGCACCTTGCTGCGAGGTCGGTCGACGGGGCGGGGAGGGCGAGGGTGGAGGTTGTGAGGGTGAGGAGGGTGAGGAGGGGGGTGGTGAGGTGCATTTTTGTTTGCGAGGTTGGCTGGAGGCTGGAAGGTGGGTATGTGGGAGATGGGTCGGGAGATGAGGGCTACTTTTGCTGGGAAGTGATGGGTGTTTTATATACTTTTGTGACTTGACACTTGGGGTGGCTGTTAAATACTGGTTTGAAGTGCTTGGAAACTCATGATCATACTATGTTCTTTGTCGTTTGGCTTACGAAGGTTCGGAGGGCTTGATCCTTTGAGAGGTGTGTGGCGTTTGGTGGCTGTTGGTTCAAGGTCTGATATGTGATCAGAATACCTACATGATGTTTTCACGAAGTTTGAGAAGCAGTCCAATGATATTAGTTGAAGCTAATTGGCAATGATGTGTGTGTCATCACCGGCAACATTCGTGTGATAGCGCTACTTCATTGATAGCTTGCTGAGTGGCGCGTGTGAGGCGTACTCCATGTGACGTTTCTGTAGCTAGTCGTGCAAAGTTCTAAATTATTGGGCCAGTAAGATTACTACAAACAGTTTCGGTGTGCCAAAAAGTGTTGTTGAAATTCATGAAGCTTCAATGACCAAGACTGGGGTTATCTGCAGGCGGCTGACAGAGCTGGTTACCAATCTTGGCACCCTTATTGTGTGAACACCCTCATGAAGATGTAACTGAAATTGCTACCGATAGCAACATGAAACAAACAGCATTATCCAATGCAGGGCATACCTTCTCCTCGTAAACCATCAACCGCCATCCAATCCACAATTCCCATCATCCCTCCAAAACTTTAACTCAACGCATTCCCAATGTGCTGCCCACTCCCCATCGGCGCCCCAGCCGGAGTATAAACCTTGATGCCCGTTCTCTTCTCCTCGTCAATCTCGGCCTGTCTCTTGGCCTTTGTCGCTTTCACCATCGGGCTCTGGAATTTGGACATGAACTTGGCCAGTTTTGACGGCGGCTTGGGGACATAGTTCGGGTCTGGCTCCGCCACTTTCTCATAGTAGAGGTACCGAGTCGGTGCCTGTGGTTGCTTTCCCATTGTGGTGGCCTCGCTGTCGGGGACTACCGTCGAGGCGGCGGCGAGGGATTCATTGGAGGCTTTGGTGGTGAGAGTCTTTTGTTGGTCTGGATCTTGAGGCTGGGAGGAGGAGGAGGAAGCCATGCTGTGGTGGATGATGTCTTCTGATCTTATTCTTCTGATATTGCGGAGTGGCACGATCTTCTTTCTGCGGCGTCTGGGCTTCGTCAAAGTTAACGTGGATGTCATTGCTTGTGGTTGCGTAAATGGAGAGGTGAAGACAGGGCGCCAGGGTGATGGGTGGTTGTGCATTTATATCCGAGACCTGGTCCCGCCTTTTGGGCCGTCGTACCTGACAATCCACTTAAAATCGTTCGTCAGCGTTGCATTTGGCGTCTCTTCACAGCCAACTCCACGGTCTAGTGATATCGGAATGCACTTACTGTTTGCACAGCCACACTTGGCACAGGCGAGAACAACGGTTTGTTGCCTTGCCATTGTGTGAATATATGTGCCAAAGAGCCCAAAGGATCAGCATAGCCACAAAAGGCATGGCATGATATGCCTCGAGTGCGCATCTTGTGCGTTCGTGACACTGGCGCCACGGTACCTTGGTGACCATCGAGGATAGATACCCACCTGCCCATCCACATGTATAAGAGTAATGCCTCCCGGCAAAGTCCACACTGTCGCTCTTACCTTATCTATGAAGGTACCGTCCCAAGTCCCTAAGGAGTAGTAGGATCCAGACACCTTACTGATCATGTCCAGTCTCTTGCTTGAACAGCCCGGCCGTATCGTACCACCTACATACTTCATATTCAGCATGTGCATAATAGTAATGCCAAGAAAACGTGATATCAACGTAATAAGGGATTGGGTGCCTTATTGCCTGAACTCGGCTGAGCCAGTTTTGGGCATTCTTGGATCTTTGTTCACCTTTGACATCAACTACAGTAGCTCTAGAGGAATTGATGGAATTGAAGATGCCGCCAAACTCTAGCTTACGCCAGTAGCCGGTTGCCCGTTCGATTGACCCTTTAATTACAAAGGTGCCTACACATAGAGTACCCAGGTAAAGAGCTACATCTTGAGGGATATGGCAGGATATCATGTAACGACTTTAAGCCTGGTTTTGGTTTTGCGAAGGTGTCGTAGAGGACTTGTGGACCCATGCCACGATGGTTGAGAACCGCATCTTGAACCCACTACCGCCCTCTTGGTTGTCTTCTCTGGCTTTCTGTAGAATGTTTCGAATCCGCCGCCTGTACCAATCCCGTTTCTCAGGCGGCGCGCTTTGCAGCATACAATAAGAAAATATGCGGTTTTCTAGCGCCCGTCTCGTCAACCATCTGGGACAGCCTCCAAGTCTCAAGGTTCAATGGTAAGCGGAAGAGCTGCTTGGCAACTGAACTGTCGAAGGCGGATTGCCACATCTCGGATTTGAACCTCGGCTGTCCGTCGTCAAGGGCCCATATGATCTCGCGGAGCTGTTCCTCCCACTTGGTTTGCACCTGAAACGACCGAGGAGAGTTATAATCCTCCACGTTCCAGATAAGACCCAGACCACCCCTCGGCTTGAGCACACGACAGATCTCACTAAGGCTCTGAACGCTGGCGAACCTAGTCTATCCTATCAGCAAGCTAGGTTATACAAAAGGTCAGAGAGGTGTCGCTGGGAAATGTATACATACCAATGAAAGGCCTAATTTACACGCGTAGCACAACATCACCATTAGTTAGTGGCAATACGAGAGGATAACTGCGAGACCAAAAGGAACCAAGTACGAAGTGTTGTCCTACCTGAGCAGCCAATACGCAGTCGACGGATTCATCCGGCAGTGGAATGTGCTGGGCTAACCCGTCCATCACGGTAACATTCCGTAGTCGCTTCTGAGCAAGGAAGTCCCTCATCTGTCTGTGTGGCTCGAGAGCAATGATGCGGAATTTGGGAGACCACGCAGCCGGATCTTCCGTCCACTTCCCGGTTCCTGCACCGAGTTCAAGGATGCAGACCTCGCAATCAGTAATACTTAGAGAGGATAGGAGACGATGGATGGCTTGGGTGGGGTAGGACGGGCGGTATTTGTCGTACAAGGCCGGCGCGGTGAAGCCTGCCTTAGCTATCGGGGAATAGTGGGTGGAATCTGCCATGTTATAGCTTTGAACTCTGGTTCTAATCACAGGGGTCGGTTGCCGCCGCTGTTGGGTGTAAAGTAAGGTAGGTAGATACTGGTTTCAAATATTCAGGAGGATACACTACCAGGGGTGGTTTGGCAGTTCGGCTGACCCATCACGGACGCCCGTGCAACCAAGGGAAGTGAAATGCAGGGAACCTGGAAGTAAAGTGCAAGAATTCAGAAGGTGTAACAACCACAATGATAAGCCTGGGAACTATTTGCCAACTGGATCTGCATTGCACATAGCTAGTAGTCAGACCGAACATAACTGAGTTGAGGGATTGTGCACCCACACTGTCATAATTCCCCCAATATAAGTGTATACCTCCCGTGTCTGAGAGATGCACCTCCAGATGAGGCGTTATCACGCAGGGCTGCTCCCACCATCGGCATGGCTGGAAGTAAAGCCAGCCAGCGTGGGCCTCAAGTCTGCCTACCTACTTGGCGCGCCGTCAGGCATGAACAGATATATACACAAGCAGCTGATTTCATGTAATAAACCAGATCCAAACGCAGAAAGTCGGACTCTTCCGGTCGCCTCTCCGTTTACCCCACTTTCCCTGTGCAAGAGCTGCTGTGTCGATATAGCGGAACTCGGGGCAGCCGTCGTGGCCTTCATGTCATTGGCTGGCGTAATTCGCCCGTGCTCACCACCCTGCTGGTTCTTTTATACAGGCAAACCCCCTACGACCCATACTGTCAACTGTTCATTCTTGACACCGCTTACACATTTGCACTGGCAGCGACTATTTCCCCCGCCAGCATGACCTTCTGACGCGTACGTACTCTGCTACCGTTAGCCTCGAGCGCAAATTTGCTTCCATTCAGAGAGTGTTTGATCCGCGTCAATCTTGTCACCATACCAGCATCGCTTTACCATCGCCGCTCTATCTAGGTCTAGCGTCTGCCACCCCAAGCGGTCTCGTCCACCCAGATCTACAAGGTGCCCTGCAACAGCTCTCTCGACAGCAAATGGCACACAACGACGCTTTCAACAAACAAGTCACACAGGTCGTGATGGAGAGTTTGAGAGCTGGAACGACACTCGATGATACCTATCCACACTTGGCAGGGAGTCTGACAAGCCCAAAGATGAGGCATAAAACCGTAAGACGATTCGAATATGACTTCTATTTGGGCACCGTGGTTATGTCGTGGGGACGTCTTCGTTGGAAGCATCAAAGGAATACCGTCCTGGCAACGATACTGGAGACAACCAACAGTCGACAACAGGCTTTGCCGCAACATTTGAAGTAGTTCCCGTCTCGTGGTTGTCTCAGCGCGCTGTTATTGGTGGTTGGAGTCTCACTCGCGATCAACGAGGGTCGCCTTCCTTTTATCCACGGCTCTCCTTTCCAGTAACAGTCCTCATCAACGCCGAAGTCATGTACCACGCCTCGACGAACAATGTACCAGGCCTACGAGACTTGTTCGACTCTGGAAAGGCGTCTGTCAGTGATCGTACTAGTGCAGGGTGGACGCCGTTGCATCTATCCGCCGCCGCGGGGCATGTTGACTGCTGCAAGTATCTTTTAGCCCATGGTGCAGACGTCACAAGCGCCGGCCACGTCGGAGTCACTCCGCTACACCTCGCAGCCGTCTATAGCCACCTAGATGTTATCAAGGCACTGGTGGAAAACGAGGGCGACCCCGAGGCCAGGAATCAGCACGGCTTCAACACCATCTTTGGGGTGCTGCACTCACCCTTTATCAGAGATCCTGCTTTCAAGGCCGCCATAATTACCTGGATTCTCCAACAAGAACAGTTTTTTGTCGATGTTGACGGCCAGGACTATCAGGGAAACTCGATTCTGGGGTGGTTTACTGAGCATCACCCAAATGGTGTGAAGTTGTTGCTTGACCACAAGGCCGAAGTCAATCTTCGCGCAAATGACGGGTCCACGCCCCTTCACAAAGCGGCTGCAAGAGGCTGTGGAGAGTTTGATGTGGGAACGTTGTAAGCTGAACCCCTGGCCGGATCTGGATCAAGAGGATGATGCGGATGAGAAGGAGGAGGATACGGATGATGAGAATGACAAGAATACGGATGACGAGAAGTATATGGATAAGGAGAATCATAGGGAGCAGGAGAAGGACACGGGGGAGAAAGACACAGAGGAGGAAGACACGGAGGAGGAGGAGGGTGATCATCAGGTGGAAAGGTTCGGTGTGCACGTCTTTGCAAAGAAGCTTCCATCAATTAAAAGATACCCTCGGGGAATTTCGAAAGAGGACTTGAGGCTGGCGGGTATTCGAACGGGTTACAAAAAACTTTTCACGAGAATTCTACCTCGACTGTTACGCAACAAAGTCGGGAGAAGGCCTAACATATCCGATATAGTCAATGATCTACATCAAGACTTGTACGGATCAATCGATGGTTGGGAATTTGAACCGGCTACAGTAACAAACGACAATGCGCAGTAGGAGGATGAGGAGGATGAATATGACGAGGACGAGGACGAGGACGAGGACGATGAAGGACATTGGGTGAGCGATGAAGGTGAAGAGGACGACGCATAGAAGGTGTTCGCATGTTCACTAGTTCTGTACCTATACATGACTTGCAAAGTATGCGCTTCCATGCGTATATCTCTCATCAGGTAGCCGGCACTCTCGGAGACGGGAACATGTCGCTGTCATAGCATTCCTTACTATTCACTAATCTTGCATGTTCTTACTACACCATCACATCACTTGACCTCACATTCTAAATACCCTACACCCACTTCTATGCTCCTTCCCAGAATTGCTCGCGACCCACCCGAGAGCTGTCTCACAAATGACGAAACGCCCATGAGATCGATGTCTCAACCCAGCGCCCAACCTCATCCTGACTGGAATGTTAGCCGCAGCACCCAGCGCAACGGCCAAAACCATATGTCGTTGTCTTTTTTTTTTCGGTCATATATCGCCTTCAGCATCCTCCCGAGTCTCGTAAAAAAACGCCAACCTCTGCCCAGAATTCATTTCCAGCTGCTTGCCTAGCCAGTTTGATCCTTCCTCAAAAATGTACTTTTTCTCCCTCCTTCCCCTCCTCATCACAGCCACCACCTCCTCCCCTTCCCCGGGTGGTCAAGTCCTTCCCCGACAGTCCTCCCCACCCCCGACCAACCCCTCCTTCATCTCGACCATCCTCGCCACAGCCAACGCCTACCGCTCCGCCCACGCCGCCCGCCCGCTGACCTGGGACGCGAACCTCGCCGCTTTTGCGTTGCAAAAGGCGAATGGATGCCAGCTTAACCATGCCGTACTTTTTTTTGTTCTCTCTCCCCCCCTTTCCTGGTCAATGTCTAATTCTCTGTTCTAGGGCCCATACGGCGAAAACGCCTACTGGTCATGGTACTACCCGCCTACGCACCAACCTGATTTTACGGCGGAGATAGGCTGGGCGTTTGAGGCCTGGAACTCGCAGGAGGAGATTGATGCTTACGTTGCTGGGGACTTGCTGGGGGGAGCGCACTTTACGCAGACGGTTTGGAAGGCTACGGAGAGGGTTGGGTGTGCTTTTAGCGGGGGGAGGTGCGTGGGGAATCCGGATCAGGAGTGGTGGTTTTATTGTGATTTTTGGCCGAGGGGGAATGTGAGGGGGTGGTATGGGGGTAATGTTACTGTTTGATGGGGGGGGAAGTTGTTGGTTAGTGGTTGTGAAAGGGGGCGTGGGGGAGAGGGTTGGGGAAGGGATGGTGGCGTTGGTATCCTTGGCTGGTTGATGCTTTTATTCGTCGTGGGGGATGATTGGTTATGGTGCTTTTTTCGGTAGAGTAGTATTAATAGTACACGAAGGGCACGTTTTGCTTTTTTTCGTATGTTGTGAATGGTGATGCTTTAGACAAAGGATCGAGGCGACATGTGTTGGGTTTAGGGTTACATCTGGTTGCCATGAGCCCCTTTTTTGCCCCTTTGTTGGTTGTTTACATGCAACAAAGGTTGTGGTGCCAAGACAGGAGCGTGCTACCTAACTTTTCTTTCTGGTACTTCATCAAGGTGGAGATGATGGAAAACTTGGAAATTGAGGCATGAATATATTGATTCAAACTTTATGAGTCATAAAACTAGCAGGTAGGTTGGTAAGATAGGTAAGTACTAAAGAGATATTGAGTGCAGTCATATAAAGAATCATTCCTCCACATAAGGCCCTTGAACCCATGCTACTACCCTGTCGCCGTCAATTTCTATCTTGGTTGAGACATCCCAGCTGCGGCTTCTCGAACCCTGACTCTATCACTCTCGCAAGGATCGCCACAGGCTGGGCAGGTGTAACCGTCGGTCTCAATGTCAACGCGCACCACCAGACATCTATTACAGCGCCACCATCCGTTGAAAACTGCACGTGGTGCGCGGCTTTCCCACCACTGTGCATCCTGTCTTTTGGGTCGCGATATGAGATCTTCCTTGTGGAAGTCACGGAGATGCTCCTTAAGGTGGTCTAGACGACCGAAGGGTGCTTCGTGGCGAAGGCATTTCTTGTAGTCGCAGCGGTACTTTCTTTTCTCGTCTTCGGGAATGTGCACCTGCTTGTAGTGTCGGTCAAGATCGGCTGAGCGGCTGAATGACTTTTGGCTGCATCCCGGCGCAAGGCATTCGTAGGTTTGCTTCGTGGTTGGGCCGGGTAGGTTCTGATAGCTGGATGCATCCTGCGACACCGGCGAGATTGGGAGATGTCCAAGTTGTGAAGCCGCTAAGTCCACTGCATCGTCATTGAGGGGTTGTCGGGTGCTGTTACCTGGGATGGGATCACCGAAGTCATAATACTGGCCAAAGGGCAGATCGCCTGTCAATTGTGAGTAAGGAAGATAGTAACCAGCTTCCGGTGACAGTTCAGTGTAATGTATGTCCTCAACAACTTCGTAGCTGGGCAGACTGGAGATACTGAGATCAGGAGCTGGCCAATCCGAGACTGAAAAGGCTGTCGGGATCGTACTCGATGGCGGTCGTTCCATCATGGAAGTTTCATGACTGTACAGAAACCCATAGTCATACGAAGACCCGTCTAGGTCATGGGGGTGATCCGAGTGCTCCATTGACAGGAGTGGAAGGGAGAAGAGTTTGGGGAGATGTAAGTTACCTTACTTACCAGTCAGAAGTAGACGAGTTATATATCCAGATAACAGCAGCAAATGCGTGATTTATCAACTCAGAGGCCGCATATGGATGTCAGCTCTCAGAATGTGATTGAACAAGAACCTGCATGTTAGCTCTGCATTGTGCGCCACAGTCGCGCAACAGCGATAGGATGCAAGTCTCCCCAATGACAAATCGCCACGAGTTGATCGCTCATTCAAGGCTGGGTCAAGAAGAAATGATCGTTTTGGTGGCAGACTGGCAGCTCGAGGCTGCAGCCCTCCAGCTGGCAGAGATGGGTGTCAAAAGTGGCCGGAACGGTGGCAGTGGCGGACCTCAGGCTGTTGGACATGCAGCGTCCCAGCCAATGGATTTTGGTTTTTTCCCAATCTTGCCACAGAGGACAAACGCAGCTTCCATAAAGGACAATCTGGAAGACTTTGGGCCGCGACTTCAACCCGACTGTAGGCCTCACTGTCTGAGGTTAATTACACTTGTGTTGGTAACAGCAGGGTTAGGGTATAGCCTGCTCCACGCTGGCGCTGAGCTTTGGTGCCTGTTAGTGTCCTCTCCAGCCAAATCCCGATTTGAAACTTCACGACTACAATCCACGACCGAACTCCGTTTGCAAGGCAGCCAATTTTGTCTGTCTGTCGCTCGCTTTCTTCCTTTCCTTTCTTTCTTCTCTCTCTCTTTCACGAAGCTTTTCTCTCTCTTTCACGAAGCTTTTTTCTGAACTACCCTTTACACCAAATCCGCATGGTCAACCAACAACAGTTGTCCAATCAAGTCGCGAGTCCATCATGGAGATCGCACTATACAACCACCTAGCGTTACCGCTGCGCGTTCCGCCGTCTGAAGATGGCAATCTGAGTGATCTTGAAATTCAGTTGACCGATCACTTGATCAGCAATGTGCGCATTATGTGCCAAGCGTTTCGACAGCCGTACCAACCTGGCGCTCACCCATCCGCGATTTCCAAGGCCTGGGAGTATATTCGCTTGTGCCTCGAATCGTCCAAGACTGTTAATCGGAACGGACGAGTCAACAGAACGACTCTGCTGTCGGAGTTTCGTCATCTAGCCCAAGGAAATGCCGTGATCCTTCACATCAGCAGTCAAAATGCCGCTCTTTTGGTCCACCGACTCGGAGTCCGCGACGAGGTTGTCTTTGAAGTCTTCGAAACCTCTCCAAGAAATGACGATGTCCTCGCCGCCGAGAACGCCTTGCAGTGGGACTTTCCAGGAAGCGCCGTTGCCATCCCGCTGGTGACCTTTGAAGATGGAGCATTTCAGGGCAGCCTGGCGACCTTTTTGGAGCAAGCATCTCTCGAGTCGACAAAGATGTTTGCTGCTCATACCTTCAAAGCAGGAGCTGACATCCACGAGTATCGAGACACGTCGAGTCCAACCATGATCAGCTCCATGTTGATGGCCATCCTGGAAGAGAATGGCCGCCGAATCTCGACACCTCTTCTCCGCAAGCGAGTTCGTGACGACATCTCTTGGCATCAAGCGCGCAAGCCCTGGCGCCGGCTCCCATACTGGCTCGTCCTCAGAGTCTCCATCGCTCGATATCTTTCGCTCGTTTTGGGGGCAGAGATGGGCCGTTTCCAGTACAAATTCTTCATTTGCAACACCTTGGCCACCTTCCTGGAATCGGCACAGGCATCGCTGCAAGCTGATCAGGTTCACTTTCTCAAAACCAAGCTCTGCCGTCGGCTAGTGAAGCTGGATGTGGATAGGGGCAATGTGAAATCTGCAGGCACCCTGCCAGATATTGACATCCTTTTCGGCAAGCTCACTCCAGGAATCAACAAGATCATTGATGATGCCACCAGGCGCGTGGCTACCGAGTGGGAGGCGTTCAAAAAGGCCCATGCAAGGCCCATTCCCGAGTTGCCAAAGAGGGCCAGCCCCGCCGACCTGAACCTACCATTGGAACTCAGCGGCAACATGTTGCGGGACCTACAGACGAGCTGGGGAAAGACGACGAGGGGACATTGCCGCAGATGGGTGGCCCCGGAACACTTTGATCTGGGTTCTGTTACGAACAAGCATCTGAGCGAATTTGCGCAGCCCTTATTCCACGTTACCCAGCAAGAGATGCTTCTTCAAGATTGCCCGCCAAATGAGTCGTTGATAACCTATCTCCAGACCGCACTTCCCCTATTCCACGGCAATCCCGAGCAACTCAGTATCCTCATTCTCAATGCAATGGAAATGTGGATGAGACTTGACCAAACGACCTGCTTCCAGTTCCCGCTTTTGACAGACTACCATCCTGTCTTCACACCCGAGTCGCTCAATGTCTTGCATTTGGCCACCTACAAAGATATGGTCCGCCTGCAAGCCGTCCAGAAGCATATTTCACAAAGAATCCACGCAAGTTCTCTTCCCAGATGCACCATATTCGATGATCCTTCTGCCAGCTGTTTTGCAGCGAGATATTTCGACGGCATGCATCCCGACTCTGTTGCCATGCGTAACTCGTATGCAGATATCACCCATGCAGATGTTTTGAGGAAAGAATTGAAACGCAAAGAGTGGGAAAAGAAGACTGAGGAGTTCCAGAGCCTGACTCGGCAGGTTGGTATGTAAAGCCTTTCCCACTTGGACATACACGCAACATGGCAACTAATCTATGAATAGATGGAAGCTCATGCATCCTCATCGTGGACGACGACGACCCCCTTGGACGTAGCTTCCACGATGACCATCACTGCCCGCGGTGTCGAGCAATGCACAAGCTGGAGAAGATACGGATCCAGATCTACGAGGAATCTCTCCCCTCTGATATTCACCTTGCCAAAGCCGCAGTGTTTGAGCTCCGGTGCCCCCCAGCCTTCGCGAAGTATCGCGACACAACGTTGATGCTTATATCCAAGCTTGCAAGCCCGGAGGTTGCTGTGGGTGTGGCTCCAAAATGCCTGCTGAATGGCTACTCTCAACTCAACACCGTCGCAAACATCTATCCCAAGTTCACTCTGGCATCTTTGACAAAATCATGTATGTTTTTCCTCGGCCTTTTTTTTGTCTTTGTGATACCTGCTAACGTACCCAAGTCTTGCAAACCCACTACTCCATTGTCAGATTTCCCGTCGAGTGGGAAGGTGGACGAGACGGGCTGTGCAAACCCAACGGGCTGAGACTTGCATACGCTTACATCGACGGCGATACAACTATGTGGACAGGTAGGGCATTCATGACTCCAAGCTTTGCCCATCATGTTCAGCTGAAGCTGCCGGAAAAGTCTCCTCTCCGCCCCATATTGAGCCATAAAAGCTTCGCCGTTGAGGGGCAAGGCCCGAGTTCGTACGAGATCATGGCTACACAGCCCAACTGCCCTTCTGGGCTGAACCCTCACGAGTTCCTGGCCCTGAAAAGTCTCGTATCGGGGGCAGCGCGAAGATGGCTTTCGATCTTGACGGAATTGGCCTCGACAAACTTGAACTGGTCCAGCGAAGGCACCATGTCATTGCTGCTACATCTAGCACTCCAGTGCGGTCCCAGCTCTGACAAGGACGATCCTCTTCGCCTTGTGCACTCGGTATTTCGCGATGCTCATTTTGTGCAGAAGCTTCTAGAGCAGGTCAACACCCGTCTTACCACCCTGTCAGCCTTGGCCAGTTGGAGAGAAACGCACCTCATGAGAATCACGATTGTGCTTACCTTGCGCATACAGGAGTTGGCCAGCAGTGCAGGGCTGGCCCAACTTCATTTTCAAGCCCTCGAGTCGGTGATTCAAGCTCGCAGGACATGCATTAGCTGGCTCAGGATGCTTCGCGAGGAAGTTCAAAGCTGCGCAGATATATCCACGGCGCAGCAATTACAGGAGCGCGCACTGGGCGCTGCTTTACTCTGTCGACGTACATTCATGATCAACCTGGAACAAACAACACCTCTTGATCCTCTTTCCTTGGAAGCATATATCGAGTCCACTGTTGCGATCCAGGAAAACATGACGAGTGATGTCGACTCACTTTCCCAGACCACCCTCCGTGATCTCGTGTTCGCAACAAAGCTGTCATATCAGCTTCAAAATCTTCTCATCCAGTCGATAAACCAGCACCCCGAAGGACTCTATAATGCCTTGAAACAATTTTGGCCTGATGCTGAGCGCCTGGACCCCATTACTACCACTGTGGAAGTTGAAGGTCGGGGTTGGATTCGGTGCGAGCTCCCTGAAACGGATGTTGAGCGACATCAAGCCGTGCATTTGAACATTCTTCTCGGGACACTTCTCGTCAATGGCAAACCTGTTGGAGTAAGTTGAACGTCCGCACATTCTGATCGCAGATGAAGCTAACTGGAAAACAGAGGCTTCCCCAGGATACCCGAAACGAGGTTGTGGTGAAAGAATTGTTTGGCGACCAGCCCCTGATGGTGTACCAATCATCGCTTCCATCGATGACGTACAGTACGTAACTGAACATCCGACCCCATGTGACTGTGATGGCTAACTCTGCTAAACCATCAGCTCTCAAGTATACACCGAAGCGTGTGACCGTGCATATCGGATCCGAAAAGGGCCAGACGGTTGTGCTAGCGAAATACGAGCACATGCTTGTTCGTCTAATTCCTCGAGAGCGCTTTTGTCGAAAAGATCTTCACGATCTTCCCAGTCCCTTGATATGGGAACACTTTCACTGGCTGTATGTTCTTCTATCTTGATAGCGAGACCGCCGCAAGGCTAACTTAAGGATTAGGAATTTGAAGACAGGCCGCCTCTATATCACGCCATCCCACAACAAGTGGAATTTCGGCCACTATTCGAATTGGGAAGTGGACATACACAGAGGCTACGCTCAGCGACGACAGCATGACGGGGAGGTGGTGAGCATGGTGAATCCTATGTCTCCCCTTTTCCAGAGAATTGCCAACATCGTTCAAGGCCTCGCGCAGAGGCAGCACATTCTCGTTACGCAGAAAAAGTCTTACGGGTCACTCGAAGTTCGGGTTCACAGTCTGGAACTGTTGTTCTTTGTCAACCACAACTCCCTCCTATTTTCACCACAGCTTGGACTCGAAATCGACCCACTGCAAGACGCTGGCACTTGGTACGGCCTTGAACATAAACTGGTCTGTCGAAAAGTACACAATCCTTTTCGTCGGACCATTCTTGTACCACTGCCCTCGGGCGGCTTTCGGTTCAGAAGATCAGGCTGTCATGTTGAACTTGCCGTTGGGCGGAGCGGCCAATACGGGAAGTTCGACATCAATGACACTTTGGGAAGAATCGACTGTGCAGCTGAACCTGTACTGGTGTATGCCAAAGCTTTGATTCACGCCTTCACGTCTTTTCCTTTACCAGACCCTTTGACTGGCCGCACTGGAACCGAAGAAAGTCTTCATTGGCTCGAGTCAGGAATTTGTCGCCCCTGGACAGTTCTCGGAAGAGAAGTTTCGTTGCTGCAGCAAATTGCGAGTCTTACCCCCATAAGGGAGTACTACCCATCGGGCCTCAAGGGTATGAAGACAGACTTCTGGGACGAGCACCTTACCACTCACATACAGCACCCTCTCTATCGACTGATTGTCCAAAAGATTCTATCAATCTCAAACGATTTGAGGATGTTCAACCCACCCCGAGATGATGAAGACAACTTACTTGATCTTCTTCCAGCAGGTGGCGAAGATTGGCTTAACAAAAGGTCATTGGCGCGTCGGCAGCTGTATGAGAGGAATGCTGAGAGTAACGATACAGCGCTCACTTCAGGAAGGACGGATAGAGTGTACATTGCACGCGACAAGAGTGTCAACTCGGACAAACTGTACAGAAGGGTTATGGAAACAACCCATCTCTTGCGCACGCGGCCAGTCAAGTTCCCAACTCCGACCAACTTGGCTTCTACTTTTGCCTTGGGAAATGTCGTGGGTGGGTTTGGCCAGGCTTATGATAAGGTTTCCCTCAATGATCGGATGTACACAGACATCCAAGAGAACTGGGGCGCTCTCGTGGAGTACTGCCGGAATCCAAACCAGTCATGCTACAGCCTCATGTTTCTTTTCGCCAATCTGGCCTTTCGCGAGGCTACGGATGACAAGCTTCTGAAGGGGCTCGTTGCATTTGCTATCTTGAGAAACCTTCGAATGCTGCCTCTACCGAGACCTTGGCCTCTGTACTTCAACTTCCGCCCCGCAGCGGTGCCTCAATTGGAAGACGTCATCAAGCTACTACTGCCATTCAGGATACCACCACCAGAGGACGAGAAAGAGAAGCTGGGCGCATTCCTCACCATGAAGCTGCGGCGGAAGATACAAGCAGCCAAGGACGCCCACGAGATACGGAGTCAAAGTGACTGCCACAAACTTGCCAAGATCATGCTCGCTCAGTGGCCCTCTGAGAAGCCAGATCTGTCGGAACTACCAACCAGCGATCTCTTGCTGGATGTCGATGTCGCAGTTCAGGCGGTTATTCCAGAGTGGCAGCGGTTATACCGGAACCTAGAGCTTTGGAATCATCTCAAGGAAGTGCAGCTGATACTGGATGAGCATTTTCAAGATGTAGAGTATAGCCCTCCGATTGTCTCGGCGGCTGAAGAGGTCCTATCGTGTCGGGTTCGCGGAGGCGAAGTGCCTACGCTAAGCGTAAACCTCCTTTGCAAGGATTTCATCCCCCGGCTTTCGTCCCAACCCACAACGACGACAAGGTCTGCCGCTGAGTGGTCTCCCCTTGCCAGCTTGCCCAATGATGGGCGTCGTGCCTCCGGACAGGTCAACGACAGAGCCATTGTCGGCAACGCACAGCCGCAGATGTCCGCATACGAGGTCAAGAGATACATAGATGAGCTGCGGGAGATTGTCGATACACTGGGCAACAGCAAGTCACTGGTCCGAAAGAAATATGCTAAGGATCTCAGTGGCAGTTTACAGGGCCTCAGGAGTCTCAAAACCCCGGACCAACTTGCGAAGCCATTTCTTGCTATCCGGCCAAACAGCGGCACGAAGGGCGACGTCAGCCATCTGTTTGAGGTGTTGAAGGCGTCATTGGTTGCAGAGACTTCCAATGTTTCGTCCCGCCGAATCGAATGGTTGAGGATTGGAGGCCTGTGGCCTGCCATCACCACCACAGTCTTACTCGAACAGTTGCGGTCAACCAGCAGCACATGCTTCGGGGCAGGCATGCGCCAAGGCCTTATCCAGTTCGGACTTGCCATAACCAAGCTTCAGCGAGAAATGCGGCTCAATGACTGTGTCATGGCAGGTGATATCTCTCGCTACCAGGACGAGGAAGCGAACACTGGTCATCTGAACTGGGACCCGGCTCAACACCCCGACTGGTTACTCTTGGAGATTGAGGCCAACGTCCTGATACGACCCGGCCAAATCGATGTGGCGCGGGCCACCATCTCGCCCGAATCCGGGAGCAATTCGGTTCTGCAGATGAACATGGGGGAAGGCAAGACATCATGCATCATTCCGATGTGCGCAGCCTTCATGGCTGACACGAAGAATCTTGTGAGGGTAATTGTACCGAAGGCCCTGTTGCTCCAAACGGCACTGCTGCTTCAATCTCGTCTTGGGGTGATGCTGAACCGCCACGTTCGCCATGTGCCCTTTTCTCGCCGAACATCAACACGGGGGGGCAATATCAAGCTCTACTTTGATATCCACAAGCAAAGCCGAGACACGGCAGGCGTCATGCTATGTTTGCCTGAGCATAATCTCTCGTTCATGTTGAGTGGCCAGCAGAGGCTTCTTGATGGCAATATCAATGAAGCGAAACCGATGATGAAGGTTCATGCCTGGATCAAATCACACTCTCGAGACATTCTGGACGAATCCGACTACACCCTGGCGACGCGCACCCAGCTCATCTACCCTTCAGGCTCTCAGATGTCAGTCGATGGTCGTCCCCATCGCTGGCTCACTGTTCAGGCCCTTCTCAGCCTTGTTGACCAACATCTTTATGGTCTGCAGGTTTCTTTCCCGAAGTCGCTCGAAGTGGTGAGGAGACCTGGTGGCGGGTTTCCTTTGATATACTTTCTCCGACAGGACGTCGAGGATGAATTGCTTCGCCGGCTGACAGTCGACATCACCAACGGCCTGGGTCACATCCTCCCCATGCATTACCTGAATGCTGGCGAGCGGCGCGCTGTGGTCGACTTTTTGTCCCCGACGAAATCTAGACTCGGCCCCATCACGTTGGAGAAGGTGAGAAAGCTGTGTCCTGAGAGGCCCGAGGTGGGGAAAACGGTCTATCTCCTCCGTGGCTTGTTGGTGAACCGGATCCTGATCATGACCCTGAAGAAGAGATGGAACGTGCAATATGGGTTGCATCCAAACCGTGATCCGGTGGCCGTCCCTTTCCATGCCAAGGGTGTGCCAAGTGATCAGTCGGAATGGGGCCATCCAGACGTGGCGATTCTGTTCACTTGTCTCGTCTTCTATTACGACGGAATCTTGGAACCGCAGCTTAGACAAGCACTTGCTCGCGTGCTCAAATCCGATGATCCATCGACCGAGTATGACAAGTGGGTTCAAAGCTGCGACAGCTTCCCAGAGTCGCTCAAGGCGTGGAATGGGATCAATGTGGAGGACAATGTCCAAATCCACGAGATCTGGAGAGCGGTCCGATACCGGACTGTGGTTATTGACTACTATCTGAACAACTTCGTCTTCCCACGCCACGCAAAGCAATTCAAGGTCAAGCTGCAATCCAGTGGTTGGGACATTCCACTCTTCTCAAGCGAAACGAAGGACGCCAAACTGTCAAAGGCACTCACAACAGGATTCAGCGGCACCAATGACAACCGCACCATGCTTCCGCTCACTATTCAGCAGGCGGATCTTCCCACAATGTCCCATACCAACGCCGAAGTGCTAACATACCTGCTTTACGAACGGTCCCGGCGGTGCCAAGTCATTACCAACCAGTACGGGAAGAGAGCAACGGAGCGCGATCTGCTTTACCTACTCAGGGAGCGTAACATACAGGTCCTGATTGATGCCGGCGCACAAATTCTAGAGATGGATAATGAAACTCTCGCCAAGACATGGCTGTCCATAGACGGACGCTGCAGTGCTGCATTGTATTTCGATTCGTCAAACAAGCCATGGGTCATTGACAAACAAAGGCGCAAAACGCCTCTCTTGGCCTCGCCGTATGCGGACGACTTGTCGAGATGCCTGGTCTATCTTGACGAAGCCCACACTAGGGGCACAGATTTGAAACTTCCTCTTGGTGCCTGTGGTGCCTTGACAGTGGGTCAAGGGCAATCCAAGGATCACACCGTTCAAGCTGCCATGCGACTGCGTCAGTTGGGGAAGAGCCAGTCTGTCATGTTTTTCGTCCCTCCAGAGGTCAACCAGGTCATCAAGGACCTTCGGAAAAAGTCAGTGTTTGACAAGATCGACTCGCACGACGTCATTTGTTGGCTTCTCGACAATACCTGCGATGGCATTGAGCAGCTGCAGCCTTTGTACTTCTCCCAGGGCATGGATTTCTGCAGAAGAACACAGGCAGCGATCGATAACCCGGACTGTTTGACTCATCCAGGCCAGCAGGCGGACTACGTGGCAGCCATCAAGCAAAACGAGCTGCAGACGTTGCAGGAGATGTATGAGCCCAAGACCAAGGTGAAAGCTGCAAAGCTTTCGATTGAGGCGGGCTCCTCACATCCAAAGGTTGCAGGGTTTTTGAAAGAGCTCAACAACCGCCGCAAGGGGTTCCAAGACACCGGCAGAGCGGTGCACGGATCTGCATTGCAAGAGGTGGAACAAGAGCGCGAAGTGGCCTTTGAGGTTGAGACTGTTCGCCAAGTCAAGAGGCCGGTCATGTACGATGCTCTCACTTTTCCCGGCATCAGCAAAGAGGTCGACACGTTTGCCCGGACTGGTAGGATACCTGTTGGAAGCCTCTCTGTCTGCCACGTTTTTGAGCTCCTTAGAAAGACAGCTCTGGGGCGAAAACACAAGATAAGGGCGCAGGACCAAACCTCGCGGTTGTTTGTCTCGGTCGAGTTTGGGCGCACGGTCAAGCTTCACACTGATCTCGCCAAGGACACCTTTTTGCGTCCGGTGAACTGGGTTCTGTGGAGCGGATTCACGCAGACGGCGATTGTTTTGATCCCGGAGGAGGCTGAGATTCTGATTCAGATGATCCGGGATAAGGTGACGCACCCATGCGTTCACCTTGTTTGCTATGCCTCCCCTGTTACGAGGAGTATGCTTCCGTTTAACAAGCTCAACTTCTTTAGCATGCCGCCTTTGCCAGAGGGTTGGGTCGCGCCGCAGTGGTTGAGGACGGAGCTTGGGATTCTTGCCGGCAGGCTGTATTTTGAGTGGGAGGAATACGAGGCCCTGTGTACGTTCCTCGGTGTGGACGCCAATGACGGAACGGTTAAGGGCTTGGGTCTTGTTGATGGGGAGGATGAGGGGTATGGAGGTGATGGGGCGGCTGATGAGGATCATACCCTGAGGAACACCCAAACCAACAGCTTTGCACCGAGACCATTGACGTTTTTGCAAGAGTGGCTTGCTGTCAGGAGACACGGTCAGGATTTTGTTCACACGCCCATGGGGTTCTTGACACAGAGCAAGCCTTTGCAACAAGACCACCCTTTCTTTGGGGGCACGTCTTTGCCGTTGCCTACGCCGGATGCGCCGTTGGGGTTGCCTACTGCTGCTGGTCTGGGGGGTGATGGTGGTGGGGGGGAGGAGGAGAATCATGACTTTTTTGATGGGGGGTTGGATGATATGGGGGCTAATGTTGGGGTGCCGGTGGAGGAGTTGGAAGAGGAGGAGGATGGGAAGGAGGTGGTGGTGCATGAGGAGTGTGAAATTTCGTCGGGGATGACGTCGGGGAGTGGGAGTTTTGAGATGATGGATTCGGGGTCGTCGGAGAGGGGGGAGTATTATACTTGAGGTGTGAGGGTTGGAGTTTAGGTTTTTTTTTGTCTTGTGGTTTTTGTTTGTTTGGATTGGAGTTGGGGATTGGCTTCAGTTGTATGATACCATGGGAATTTGGATGGGGGGGAGGATTAACGGGTTTATGGAATTGGGATTGGGATTGGGAGTTGTGTGGAATTTGGGATACGGGATTTGTATGAGATTTGTTGATACCACATTGGACATGGGACATGGCATTTGAGGGAATATGGATAGATTAGGTGTTTGGGGGCCTGGTGGGGTAATCTCGAAGGAGTTTGTGTGCATGTTTGATCTTGTGGGAACAGATGATGTACGAGTATGCTTGATCTGTGTTTGCTTTGAGTGCCCAGTGGTATGATGTTTGAAACTTTTGAGGACAAGATACCATCGTTGCCTGCTTGTGTCTTGCAGCTCTTTGCCATACCTCCAGTTGGCTCGTGAATCCTTATTGTAATCTCCGTCCCAGATGACAAGCTTTTGCAATCCGAGCATTTTAAAGCCCACTCCAAGCATTTTACACTCGTAATCCAAGCCTTTTAATACCCCAATCCCAGCTTAGGTGAGTACTGGAACAAGACTTCCTTACAGAAAGGCGCGTGAGCTCTCTGGTTTCAAAGGGACTTTTGGAAGTCTCAATACACATTCAAGTAAGACGCTGGTAATGTGTGTTGGAAAAGCTCGGAAAGAGTTGGTAGAATGCTTGGGTGGAAGCAAAAAGATAGATAAAGCTTGGGTACCTAAGAAGAAATATAGCTGGGGCAAAAGACAGATAAAGCTTGGACAAATAACTTTGCCTAGAATTTTGTGTGACTAGCCCGGTTGTGCAAAACGGAATTTGGGTTGTGGGGAGGAAGCTTTATAACCCAAGGTTTATATGGGCCAACGGGGGAAAGAGAGGAAACAAATGCTCATGTATGTATGTGAGTGCCCTGTGAAGTACACTGGTGACATCACACTACCTGTCAATAGTATTTGGAAAGCACGGTGCTTCAAGTCTTGCATGCCAGCTCAACCCCCGACAGTCCCCCCATTCACACCAAGATCATGTCACCAGAAAGTTCAAAGAATTTGAATTCAAGTAAATTTTAGGCTACACACAACCCCCAAACCAGCCAAACACCCCTTTCTGCTGTCCTCCAAAACTAGACAATAGATTCTAAGAATAAAAATAATACATCAAACGCAAGAAAAATAAACTCGAACAATGTTCATACATGTCGTCATAACCGGTCGTGATTTTGATATCCCCTTCCTTCACAACACCGAATCACCGTGCAACTCCTGCTTGACTCGTCTCCTCCAGCCAGAAACTCCCCCCTTCCCACAAGCCCAAGCCACTCGTGTATAAATACATCTACCCCCGTATATGCGCATATATGCGTCCACCTCTTCTGACACATCAACGTCCGATATCATCCCCCTCTTCAGTGATTACATTAGTAGCAAGTCAAATACAAGAAATGTCAAAAATATATAGCAAAGGAAATAGAGCAAGAGCTATGCTCGTTAGTGTGTCCTCTTGACGTCTGTGTCGTCCCCTTGTTGCTTTCCCCATGAATAATTGATGTTATTAGTATCCCTCCTGCGGGCCTCCATGTCCGCCAAACATGTTCGGGTTCGCCCCTCCGTGAAATCCCCATTCGACCTCCTCATTTCCGGGCAGACCATGCATCTCCATTGGCCCCGTAGTCGGGGTAAAGCCAGGCATTGTGGTATGGCCACCTTGACCGTAAATCTCATGTGGCTGCTGCTGTTGATGGAGCTGATGTCTGTGCTGCTGTTGGTGAGGATGGCCGGGTCCGACAACACCGTGGTGCATGCCTATCGGCGACTGGACGTGCATGGTAACCCCCATGTCATCCGGCAAGGGCTTGCTACAGGAAGGACAGTACATGTTGTTACAGCGTCCTGGGGGGTGATCTTCGACGAGAGTCTGAGCCGAGTCGCGATTTTCGTCACGCATCCAAGTCGAGGCAACGGAGGACCTGGGTGTTATGAGACGGCTTGCTCGGATCGTTGCCGTGGATTGTGGTCGGGGAACCATGTCGTGCTGCTGGAGCCCCTCGCCTGTGGGGACGTGAACTGCGCCTTGGTGCTCTTGGTTTGCAAGATAATTTTGAACCTCGAGGTGGCTTGGTCCTATCGGAACAGGTGAGTAGTGGGCTGGTGCTGTTATGAGATCTGGAGACTGGAACATGTCTCCGGCGGTGGTGTAAGGAATGGCATAGTTGGCGGGCATGGAGACAGGAGGCGAGTCCCAGTTGGGATGCTGAAAGGCTACAATTGGCTGCTCCATCTGTCCACTTGTTGAAGCTGGCATGAGCGCAGACTGACTTGGCAGAACCGACGGTGGCCGGAATGAGGTGTTGATCGCCCTGGCTTGTCCCTGGGGAGTTCGTGCTCGCTGGATGGGCACTGGGATCTGCGTGGTTGGCTGCGTCTTGGGCAGAACTTCGGCTCTCTTGATCCTCTTCACGGGGTTGGGACGTCTTCTTGCTGCAGCCGAAGGAGCGCCGCGTCCAGGGCTTTCTGTTCCGACCAGTGTCGTTCCGGCCATTGTGCTGACCATACCTGTGCTTCCTGATAGCATAGTTGGAGTGGAAGCAGGAGAGGGTGTCAGCCGTTGTCCGCTTGGGGCCCAGCTGGCTGTGTCGAAAACATCCACAACTGTATTCTCCACCGGATTCACATTGAAGAAAGATACCGCGCCTGAAATTTTCTTCTCCCAATCCTGGACCACGGTTTCAATCCAGTTGTAGATGGACTTGATGCTTCTTTTCAGCCCTTGGTGAATCTTCATGTCGATATCTCCAATGTGTGTTGCCCCATCAAGAACATGTCGATACTGCAGTTCCAGCAATTCTTTCAGCTGGTCCTTGTACTTCTCAGACTCGGAGATGAAGTCAAAGGCCTCCATCACGGGAATGAACGCTGTTGTGATGTCAGTCAAATTCCATCACGACAGGAAACACATGACCTACCTGGCTCCGGAATCTCCCTGTCATGTGGAAACAAGAGCTTCCACAATGATTTCCAGTTGTCGATCTTGGCCTTGAGACTTCTGGCCTCGAGCGACGAAATAATTTTCTGGGTAATACCATCTTCCGGGTTAGCTCCGCCGTGATCAACCGAGAGGCGGCATGGCTCTGGTTGCCGCAAATGAGAGTCGAGGTCGTTTTTCGAAGGAAAGCCCTTGCAGCACCGAGGGCAAAGGAATGGACCCGCGTTTCGCTGAACAGGTGGGTGGTGAGCACGAATGTGCTTTTTGAGTTGTGACATGTCGGAAAATGAGTGTGTAGCGCAGACATAATGGTCTCGCACGTTGAATCGAAGAGGGTTTCTCTTTCTGTAAGGACAGCTGAAGTTTGTTGTGTTTTTGCTGGTGTACCCCTGGGCGGCCATGGTGGTATCCCCATCATCATCCCCTCCTCCCATGTGGTCCCGGCCTCCCAGCCCGCTTCCATCATCGCTGCCTCCCCCTTCAGCCTTTCTCTTCCCCTTGATGAAATAACCACCGGAGGACTGTTGATCATAGCCTCCTTCTCCCGGCGTACCACCACCCTGTGACGTTGGTGTCCCCTGTCCAGACGTTGCCTGCACGATGCCCATGGTTCCATCCTGGGCCACGCTGGAAAGCTCCTGGACATAGCGGTATGTGCAATCCCATATCATCAAAGGAGCTGCGCAGTCATCGACATCCTTGCCACAAGTGTTCCGCAGGACCCAGGACGAGATTTCATCAATGAGCCTGTCCTCGTCCAGCTCACCTTCCTCCTCCAGCTTCTTGCAAGTCATGCTTGAACTAGGTCGGGATGGCACACCCAAATGATTTCTGCTTTCCGAGTAAAACATGTTGGCGAGGTTGGGGTGGTAGGCAAGTATCGGGGCCTCTCCGTCGTCAGCATCTTCCACCTCGATGCGGATCTCCCGGGAAAGGCGTGATTCTGCGCGGCTGCAGGAAGAGGCAGTGTTGACACAGGTTGTGGAGGTGAGGATGGAGTCGATGGACCCAACGGCCCGATGGGTCTTGCGGAAGTCCTTGTCTGCAGGCTGGTACTCAGTAGTGTCTTGGTCCTTGGCTTTCTTGAGGCTGCTGCGTGAGTCCATGGACTTGAGCTGAGGGCGGCTATGAGGCTTGGTCATCATATCTGATATGATAACCTTGGGACCTCCACCAACGCCAAAGCTGGCCATGGTTGGGCTCTGGGGCGGTGTTGACCCAGACAGAGACAAAGCATCTGCGGCAGGCCTGGAGTAACGGTCAACAGGGTCTTGACCCTGTGCCATGAGGTCAATGTCGGCGGCTGCAGTCTTCCGGTCATGGTGCCGTGGTCGAAGGGGGATGCATATATTCATGCTGCCTCCCTTCTGTGCTACACGCGACGACAGCACGGGGGACCTGCCGCGGGGTTCCATGGTGATGCTTGAACTGCCAGGTCAGTGATGAAATGAGGTCAGGTCAGACTCTTGAGCCTCAGGCCCCTCCTCCTATCGAAGGCAGGCTAAGACAGACAAGACAGACAAGACAGCGCGCGCGCGGTGCGCGGGTGGTCAGAGACGGAGTACACCGAGACTGGTTCGTAGGTAGGTATCGGGATGCGGAGACTCGGGCGGGATCAAAGGAGTGACTGTTCATGCGCGAATGGGCAGAGAGAGAGTGGGTTGGCTGTAACGAACGACGAGAGAGAGCGCATAACAAAAGAGAGATTGGGTCCAACGGACACGACGACACACCCCGACCAGTCAGTCAGTCAGTCAGTCTGCCGAACAAGAGATGTCGGCGCCTGTCATGTTTCTCCAGTCGCAAAAGTTCAAAACTTTGACAGCTGGAGAATTCAAAGGCCCCAAGAAACCCCAAGAAGCAGTTCGCGCTTTCCGCAATCTCCCCTGACCGCGTAATTTCGATCGCTACCGTGTGGCGTCGGCCAATTAAACAGTGCTGGCCGCCTATTGGTTCAGGCAGCCTGTCCTGGGGCCGACCCCTGTAACCCAAGCACCGCAACAGGGTCACATCGCCAATCTCAGATTGATGTGTTTCCTCTCTCTGCCCACGAGCTCGGGACGGGAGATCTGATAAAAAACTGATCGGGCTGCCTTTCCGGGTCGGCTTTGCTCCCCGTGCTCCCCCCACAAACTGTCATCATCATCCCTCCCAGTCCACGCACTGACGCTATCGAGAAAACAGCGTTAAAAATGGCCGTGTTTGCCGTCTCAGCCCTGGTGTTTACATCTTGCGCCGCAGTATATTTGGGCATTGTGTTGTTGTTGACGCTACGGATATACAGACGCCAAAAAAACGCGGTGGTCAATTCTCCGAGGTTGAGGTTGCAGCGGCCAGTCCTCTCGGCAGCCGGGCCGGTTCCCTTTCCTGGTGAACATTTTCTTTCCTGTCCCAACGATATGCGATTCTTGGGTCACTTGATTTCCACAGATAAATCTCCGGTTTCATCAACTGCACTGTTCAAATATTGCAGGTGCAGACCAGCAGCATGACCTGATTCCTGTGCGCTCTTTCCCTCGGATTGTCTTCAGCCCGCAACTGCTGCTGCTGCTGCAGTGCCAAGCCCCCTCGGATTCCGCTTCCATGCATATGCAACATGCTTTGCAGCCTTCTAGAATACCCACAATGAGTGCATTGAACGCATCGCCTATCGCTAAAAGTATTTATTTGCGCATCTGTCTTTTTGTCATGTGTCAATGCCTCATGTTTGGTTGAGAACCTGGAAGCATGAATCGAGTTGAGGGGGACACTGGACAGCAAGGTAGGTATCATAGTATCACAGAAAGTGCATCTCTGTCTCTGGAAGGTTGGCGCATGAACAGAATGGCCCAAATCTTCATCTCTCTTCGGATTCCAAATCATTAAACGAACCAAAAAGGAACTTTTATGCAGCGCTTATTATCGCTTACAATGACACACACCGCGGCTGGAGAAAATCACATGCTTCATTGTCCCACGCTTGCTCTTATGGCTCGGTGGTCTGCACGGCTCATATCAATAGGGCTAGTCAGCCACGCCCCATCATCAGATTTGCTGGGAAGCTTGGATCGGGTCCAGTCAGTGCTCGGATCAAGTCCATATAATGCTTAGATCAGGTCCAGACAGTGCTCAGATGAAGCTCAGGTTGAGTGATGGAAAGCTGAGATAATATTCTCAACCAGGTGACATAGTTGGAAGAAAAGGCAAAGCAACACAGATGATAATTGAACAGTTGGATGCTGATAAAGAACCTCCAACATAGTCTATGATCCGAAAACAGTACCAGGATAACACCAACAAAAGAGAAACCTTGCCTACTCTGTGACCTTGACTTCTTCCGAGGTGTCCTTCGCTCCCTCTGGACGCCAATCCCACCCGGGTGGCTCATCCCGCGCCATCAATGCAAATTTGGTTCTACCAGACTCCAGGATACGGGTTTGTTTGATCCGCTTCTTGATCTCCTTTACAAAGGGTCGCGAGCTATTCCTAAGCACCACGGCATCCACGCCGTCTCGATCCGGGTCGGATTTCTTCTTGTCTGTGACCCGGTACCCTTCCGCAGTTGCCGCAGGACTTCTCGCAGAAGGTCCTCTGCATTTGATGGAAGCCAATGGTGTATTGCGGGTGATGGAGATGAGCTGCGGTCGGATGCTCTGGAATGCTTGCTCGGCTTCGGGGCTGAGAGGTCTGACGTTGTATCTACCAAACCCGACCATTCGCCAGTTGCGCTTCTCGGCATCGTCGTATTCGATGACATGTGTACAGCGAAACGGGACGTTATCGTTAATTGCGGCTGCAGTCATTCGGGCAGCATATACCCTTGGTCTGAGTGGAGGAAGTCGTGAACTTGACTCGGCAATTGGGGTGGAGGGGATTTAGCTATAGAGCTGCGTCACGGTTTCGAGTCGAAGCCTTGCATCGTGAAGATCTCTGTATGGAATACTTTGGAACCGTCTTTTATCTAATCAGTTGTTTTAGTGGTGCCTTCCAGAGGGTAAACGCGGGCAGGCACGTGGAGGCTTGGTCACAAGTACCTACCTAAGATAATGTTCAATTGCGTCGTTCCTTCCACCTGATGTGACAAGTTGTGGCAATGTGTGCCTTTGCAACACGTATGGGGGTGTAACAGGTGGCGGGGACCCGGGCAGCCGTAAAACTGTCCCCAGAAGGCATTTTCGGCACCGCCGGTCTCCGAGAGGCCAAGTAGCCCAACTTCTCCTGCCCTACAAGGCGCGGTGTGGCTTGACTTCCTTCCTGTCTCTCTTTTGCCCTCCATCAGTAGATGGCCGAAGTTTGTAGCCATCCTTTTAAGATGCTGTACACTTTGTGTCTTGCGTTACGAGTTTGGGTTTCCTAGTTCTGTGGGGTGATGAGAGTATTATTGACAACACATTATTCCGAGTTGCAGGATTCAGAACACAACTCCTCAATTCGTCCTACGCACGAGCTATTACAAACCTCGCCAAGTCTTACTTCCACCCTAAACGAAATGGGCGTTCTGGTTTCTCTTCCTGGTTGTTAGCTACCATGCCGGTACTCAATTCTGCTCATTCTCAGGTGCCGTTGTGGCGTTTGACACTCAAGGCTTTCCAAGGAATTCCCTAGGATCAGCCTTTGAATCCCGCATCTCCGAACCATCGACCACAGTTGATCGGACCCAGCTACCGTGACCAACTCATCGCTGGCATTTGGTGCAATGGGTATAGCAACACTGTCTTGTAAGCTATGTTTCCCACAATATGGTATCTTATTCACTGATATGCATTTCAGGTAAAAGGTGAAGACGGGTATGATAGTTTTGTAGTGTACCTCGAGAGACAACTCGACGACTACCAACCTCAAGATCGCATCTTCGAGATATTCGGCGAACTGTTCAGCTTGATTGCGACACTAAGGAACTCACATGGTACCGCAATGACCAAGTCTGATTTAGCGCAAAATTATGGACCTGGTTATCCCCATGGGCTTGATGTATGGCGTTGTTTTCATGATTCCAGTCCGTCAAACACATCAACACCAGGCATCACTAACACAGCACGCTTGGTGTATTATCATACTCTAGGTCCGACGCGTCTACAACTCTCTGGATATGGCATCGCGAATTTGGCTGATGTTCAGCTTTGCCTCGGGAGATTCTAACTTTGTCTGGGATGCCGACAAGACACTGCAGCAAGCCGTAATGGCCACCATGGGGCCACCATCAGCACCACAGTACTGATATGTCATCAGTCTAGGCAACACCGACTACCAGACCAACCCAATGCACGATCCATAAGTTGCAGTGGAAACAATGCCCAAGTTTCTGGGCATCATCGACAAGACGAAGATGGAGGACCAAGTAGGGCATGACATTCGAGCAGTGCTTCCAAAACAAATCGCATGATTTTTGCTCACCAGATATCCTCGCACCAGGGACCAGTACCCATACCGAGAACTCGCTGAAGAAACCTTAAAGACCCTGGCTTTGCTCATCCCCGACACGGACATTGACAAACCCCTCTGGTTTCAGCGAAAGCTACATAACGTTGAAATGTCGTGGCCTGGCTATGTTCGCAAGGTGCGAGGGGTTGACCCCAGGGCCGGCACACAGCTGCTGTATCCCCAGGAAGTACCGCCCCATACTCAAATGTGGGGTGACAGGATCATTACTGTGTCAAGACAGGTCGACAGTTTCAAGTTCTGGAAAGCTCGCCTTCTAATCTTGGAAGAGACATTCAACTGCACAGCACCACGGACTATTTGCGGCTTTCGGTTTGACAAGCGAAACAAACGCGAATACTTTACCTTTTGGTTTGCCGGCCTAAGCCCCGTCTTCGTAACCATCAGGCTGATCTTCGCCATTGGAGCTTTCATTGCAAGGATCTTGCAATTGAACGCAGCTCAGGAGGCCAACAGGTTTGCGAGTATTGCTACTGTGTCGACAGACTCCGCTGCCGGTACCCAATATCTCAGCGGGCAGGTGGATTGCTGTTGTCTAACTATGGCATACAACAACGAGACTTCAACGGCCGTCGAACTGGATGCTGGTCGAGAAACTCTTCACTAGTGCAGGCCACCATCCCCTCAGCATCCCCAGGTAGTCCCCATGAAAATATTCTGAGCATCAAATCTACGACCTCTATCACATGCATCAGCTCCACGGCCGCTGAGCCAACCGTGACAACCCTCCTTTCGGCGGATCTACCCAAAACATCAACTACCTGTAGTCTCCCTTGATAAAGTTCCAGCATGGGAGGTCTCTGGAAGAAGGAAGAAAATGGAACGTCAAGCTTCGCATTTCCCTCTTCATCAGTTGTTGGAGATGGCAGTATGATAGGGGGTAATCGCTCGATGGTTCAATCAAGCGGTTGCCATGGCAACTGTTCAGCGGTAACTTACGTCAAGAAAGGGGGGGTTTGGACATGCAATTGCCCCTAGGTTTGTTCACAAGTTCTATGAGGCGAAGTTTTATGCAAAAAGTTGGCTATCTAAAAGCTCGTGCCTTTTATGGAGAAAGCATATGTCAGAGGATGTCGGCCTGCTTTTTTGAGACTGGTCCAGCCCTACGGCTTTGAGGACGGGGCTTTTAATCTCGGGTTAATGAAATGACAGGGATTAGCCAGCTTAGATCCAACGCTGTGATCTTAGCGAAGGGGCAAGCTAGACGCCTCGTTCCGCCTCCCAGGAATCCTTCGAGCCTTCAACACGGATATAAAAAAAGCGTCCCCCTCGCCCTCATCTTCTCGGCAAAGCTGAACCATATCCAAGGGCTACAGCTTCGACATCTAGGAAAAATGAAGTCCTTCTCCTCCGTGTCAACCTTGCTTCCATTAGCGCTCCTCGCGGGCAAGACTCTCGCTGTTGGTGCGCCCAACACACTTCGGCGTATGCCAAGACAACATCGTCCACTGGTACGACCCCGACGACGGTCAAATCTGCGACCCTCACGACTGCGGCGGTGGCCGCGCCCCCCCTAGAAAAGATGTTCCCGGTTGCGCTTTCTACACCGGCACCGAAACCCTCAGGACAGAGGCTTCCTACATGCCGTGCTTCACCTCTGGGAAGCTTGTCCTCACCACGGAGGAGCCGACTGTCAGTCCTACGCCCCTTCCTACTGTGATAGAGTCCAGTTCTACGGAGACGATCGACTCTTCGACCGGCGCGCTCACACTTTCCGAGTCACAGCCTACTGGGAGTAGCTCAGTTCCTTTGGTGACGACATTGACGACTTCTACATCGGCGGTGATTACTGATGGGCCGAGTGTGGGGGATGAGGAGGAGGAGGTTACTACTCCGACTACGACGACGGCGACGGGGAATGGTGGGAGTGTTGTCGGGGCTGGTGGTTCACTGGTGCGGGTCTTTGCTGGGGCGGTGTTTGGCGTTGTTGCGTTCGTTTAAGGGGGGGTGGTTGACAGTGACGGAACTGTGTGGGCATGGAAGATGAAGATGCTCTTTTGTAGCTTTGTTGCTGGTACGTGTACTCCCAATATCATCACATTCTTGATTCTGTAAGGCGGCTTTCGAAATATTCAGGCCCCGTGACACTACCTAAGCGCGGCGTAACTACATATATAACTGCAGGATGCGAGTTGTGAACTCTGCATTGAACTCGGCTTTATCCCGAGTGCTAGAGTTAATTAAAGATACCGAAGGGCGGCGAAATCGTCCTGCTGGCTGGGTTATAGGTTCAAGATGATACTTTAACCCACACAACTTTACTCGCGCAGTATGAGGTAAGGTAGCCCAATCGGAATTTCATGAGTCTAACGAAAAAAGAAAAAGAGAAAAAGGTTGGAGCCGACGCAAGAAACATTGAAAAGTGGCCTTACCCACTGTCAAAAGACTGAATTTAGTTTGATATGGGAATCCTATAATTCTCAGATAGCTGATATAAAGTTTAGATACTATGTATGAGAGTTTGGATTTTAGACAGATGAAGCTTGGCTTTCCAATAGAAGAGGCTTAGATAGTGTCCCTACTACGCTAGGATAAAGCTCGGCTAGGCGTAGGTAGATCTTATACCATTCCTCCGCTGATTTTGACCCCGCCCATGACTCCGTGTCCCCGCCATCATCACCCTCCATTCCTCGGACTTCTCGAATAACCTGCCCACTCACCAGCCAAAATACAGCACGGAAGGCTAGAGGTAGGACGATCCTACCGGTGTGGAAGTGGTTGAGGTCAATGGCGCGATATACAACGTCCTCCCATTCAGCGGGGAAAAGGCATGAGATCTCGAGCAAAGGACGGCGAAACTAGATGTTGTGAGGTGAACTATTCGAGACAGACCATTCGCAACTGGCCGGTCAGATCAGGCGTTTATTGAGGGCTATAAACTCTGCAAACAAGGTTCAACGCAGCACCGAAGCCCTCGACGCAATTATTATTGCAGGTGGCCCGGAGACGTTCATCCAGGCCATGAAAAAAGCTGTATAGGAAATTAAATCGGAGATAAAGGGCAGGAGAGCAGGAACTCAGTGGAATATATTATCCGGGAAGACCCACGTAAACCAACCAGTCGAAGGTTCATCCAGAGGAGAATAGGTTGGGTTGCGGGAAAGTTCGAGCGGTAAGTTACTATACTTGATCCAAGGTGGTCAACCAGTCAAGTCAAGTCAAGTCGGCCCTCGATTTAACTTGACTTGCCGCCAAGGTCTTTGATTTGACTTAAGGTCCTTACCGCTTTGACTTGACTTGCCGACTTGCAAGCTTCTGGTAGTTTTTCCGGCCCGATTCTTAGCAAAGTAGGTAAGGGCAAATCGGATATTTATTTTCTCAACTATCTATAGCTCTTTGGCGTTAAAGTCCCTACAGTAGTGGGTTCTTGCGCCTTTTCTTTCCGGAGGTTCCGGTCTGGGTTCTGCCGAGTTGAACTCAGAGGCCAACCTCACACCTAACAATAACCTCGCCACCATGAACTCAGTTCTCGACCACTAGTGTTTGTATGAATAAAAAATACATTATAGGCCTTGACAAATCGTCAAGTTAAGTCTACCCTGGATTTAATTCAGCTTGCGTAAAAATCGGGCCGATTAACTTGCCTTGACGGTTGAACGTGCAAGTCAAGTCAAGTTTAACTTGTTAACAGCCCTAGCCTAATCAACACAAAGGTTCTGTTCTGTCTCATTCATCACTAAACAAGCAGGAGGAGAAGGATCTAGAACAAGCCAAAGGGTTGCCTGTTTGGTCCTGTTTGGCTTGGCCGGTTCACACCAGGTTTGGTTTGCCCTCAGGACTCACCACTGGAAGTCATTTCTCAGACTTATCCAGTCAGCCGCTATGTATATATTAGCCGGCCTTGTTAGACTAGTCAGTTCAGTTCAGAACCTATTGATATCGGATTTTATCCACTACTTCCTGTGTCCTTGATTTTGAAGAACGGGCTGACTTTGTTTTCCTCACAAACATCCAATCTAGCCCCACATTCTGGTGGATAACTGTGACAAGGGCTGTAATATCAGAGCTTGGAACTCATGGTTCAATTCAGGCTAATAATCTTCAATGGCCTCGAAGTCTGTGATACCGGAAGAAGAAGAGGAAAATACAGTCTTGATGATCCTGAGCGCGTATTTTATCCTTCATCGCATGGCCCGTGCCCTTGTTGGCCTCAGGCTTCTGCCAAGTCCTCCAATATACCACTGGGCCAGTGAGATTCCTTTGATACCCGCCATGCCTCTGATTGACTGCTTCACTTTCACGGTTGGCTCACAACGTGCAGGTTGATAGCTGTTGGGCTGTGATGTGGTCTGTTGGTTTTCTTGCCGTGTGACAATAACATAGATACTGGAAGTCAAGGACACGCAATAGCGGGTGCGGTGGTGGTAAATATCAGTATAAATTAATGAAACATTTGCCCTTCACTCCCGAGACTAAGTATGCAATTGGATGGTGATGGCAGGGGAAAATTCTCATGAGCGACGAAGGCCTGGACGAGTTGATGGCTTGGCTGGGGAAGCCGTGGCCCGTAGATGGCCCACAGATTGCAATACCACAGGACAAACCGATAGGAGGCTGGACTCGGTTGCGTAAAATAATCGTGGGCCTGGCTTTAACTTGCCGCCTCACCTCACAAGAAAAGCCACGAAGATCTCGTGTTATTGACCACCCTAGATATTATTCGAGCCTTTTTAGTAATTTCAATGGAAATATCTGAGCTTCTGTCGGACGCCCTTTGTGTAGAAGAGGATGGTACTATTCGTAGTGTATAGGAAAAAGCTACAAGCAAAAAGAAAAGAAACCAATATCTATGAATCTGGGGCCAAGCTGGGGCCCCAGGGCTAAAGGTTTAGGAGAAACCTGACTGCTGGTCTCAAAGAGAGCAACTTCATCATCACACAGCTTGGCGTCGACGGAAAGCTTCCACAAGTCCGCCATGCTTATAATTAGTAGCCATACAACTCGTGTCGATGAACGATCTAGATGCATCAAGGGCAAGGTGCATTACTCGTCCTGAGTCCTTTGGTTCTATGCGACTCTCTCGCCTGCTAAAAGCCATATGAATCCTGCAGTTCGCATTTCGTCTCGGTGATGGATCTTCGTGGTCCATGATGTCTAGCCGGTTTGGAAACTGGAACTGGAACCTGCGATGAGGATGCGATGGGACAGCCAATCCTCTTTTCCACTTTAATGGCCCTCGACGATCTTTTTTTGCAGGGTTGGTCTCGGTGTCAGCGATAGGGCAGGAGAATAACCAGCACAGAGTCCAGTTATAGGCAGCCATAACCCGCTACAATTGCTCCACCGCCAAGGTAGTGCGGGAAGAGTGCAACCAATCGGCACTATCATCTTAGACCCAGCTTTGCTGTCAAAGTCCGACGGCATGAATGGGTGCAGTAGAAGGTGGATATCATGACAACTCGAGATCTTAACATGTTGCATTCGCGTATATCAACAAAGGCTCGTTTCCGATCCACCAAGAAGATATCATTCGCTTTCATCCACACGTGGGCTGGCCAGCTCCACAAAACACACAGTGTGATCCATCCAGCTTATCGGCTAATTCCTTCCGATCATCAAGATTCCGTGAAGAAGGGTGGTTTCCGGTCATCAAGGTCTCCAGTCAACACCAAGGATCGGTGAGACAAGTGGGCCTTTTGACAAGGATTTTGAGGCAGCCATGAACAATGATGAGCTGAGACTTTGAGAAACCGAGGTCAGTGGGGAATCAGCTTGTCGTTCTATAAGAAGGCACGTCCTCAGCTGTTTCGATACTCTCTTCTCACTTCACTCTTCAGTCGTCACTCCTCAGACTCCACAGCTCCGTCCTCAACAGCACCAGCCCAAACAGCAACCATGGTTCTCCCCAAGAGCATCCTCCTCGCCCTTGCCGCCATCCCATGCGTGCTCGCTGCTGTCGCCAGTCCTCGTGCTCCCGATCTTGACTTGGACGATGGAATGACATGGACCGGTCGTATCTTCAAGACCGATACAGAGGTCACCGAGCTTCACGGCACGGCTACGGTACACATCTTGCCTTGACAACAACACTTCCCGAATCCCTTGACTGACCAGCGGTTGCCCTATAGGAAATTCTCGCCCAAATTCTCGCCATCAACCCCGAGTACAACGCTGCCGAGATCGCTCCCGAGGATGCCCTCGAGGCCCTGGAGAAGCGTGCCGAGGTGCTCACCTGCGGAACAATGGCTACCGGCGACCTCGAGCGGTCCATCACTGCTGCCAATGATCTCAAGAAGCTAGGCCAGAACTGCGGTGCCCCGTCCAAGCGCTGCCGCCGCATGACATGCCAATCCACCACCGCCAGTTACATCTGCAGTGTAAGTCCTCCTACACCGTCCCATGTGACACTGTGCTAACCCTCTCTGCAGGAGAACAGCTCGGATGTTTCCATCCCTTGCTCCACTGCCGGGAGACAGGTGAACCATATCATACTCAACTGCTGCCAAGGCTACAGGGCTGGAAGATCTGGGCACATTTACCAGGACGGAAGATACAGCATTTGGCTCGGCTATGGAAACTGCAATCACGCCACCAATGTCTTCCCCCACACCTACCCTTATCCCGGTGGGAACGTTAACGGTGGCTGCTACAACGACTAAGGCGGAAAGGGAGATGAGAAAGGCATGTACTTACAAGAAAACGGAAAGCGGGTGAGGTGAGATGGTTAGGGAGATAGACACACGAGTATCAAAGCAGAGATGGATAGTTGACTTCCAGTGTTTTTGCCTACTTCTGAGATGCCTGCTGATATTCCATGTCCCATCTTAGATTTGTGCTGGACCAGGTTGGGCAAGCCGTAGATGCTGATAGGGATATGTAGGTCTCTGTAGTCCATGTAATCTCCACCACAACGACGACCGTGACAGTGGACGTCTGCAGCACTGGCGCTGCCAGAGACGATATTGCGCCTGAAGTTCCAGCCATAATGGTGCAGCAACATGCTACACATCCACCACCAACAGAAGCCGCCGTGAAAGGGGACAAAAATGAAGTTGTTTCATCCGTGTTCTTCCCGGTCAAGGGAAATGTATTGCCGCTTTTGGACTTGGGTGGGGTGTGTAGTTAGGAGCAGCGCTGCCTCTTCCACCCTACCCCCCTGTCAAGTTCAGCTTGGAAAAAATGTGTTTGATTTCGAAATGTCCAAATTAACCAGCTTAAGTTCGAATACCGAATTTGCAAATCAAGGTAAAGGCCTAGTTGAATCGTGATATAAACCAACATACTGCTTATCCTACTACAGTTCTGTTAAAAGGATATGAGCTACATACCAGCCTACGGGCCCTGTAAGCGGTCGTATTTATAGTACACTTAGTGCAGCGGAAGTTGTCACTCGATATCTGTAGCTCACTGCTGGGGTACTGGGGCTACAGAACTTTATAGGCACTGTAAAGCAAAGATTAGTGGGTAACCTTCTGTATTTTTGTGCTAGCTGTCACGGGTAGGACAGGTGGACAGGTTGATGACAGTAGTATTCAGCTAAACTACAGTCTGGGCTCTATTCCGTCGGTTACGGGCAGGCTCTTTTGTCAAGACGTAGCTCAAAGAGCTACAAACAAGTCTGGCGGCAGCGAGATGCGAAACCTTTTTAGTCGCATTGGCCCGTGCTCTGCACGTGCTAAGCTCCATCAGTGGATCAACGACGGTCACGATGCAACAGCTGTGACAGACGTTAACATCCTTGATTTTCCATCTGGTGAAAATAAAGAAAACGTGGAGATTCTTGCTGGTTTATTTATTATTATTATTCCTACTCCGTTCTACCCTAAAAAGAGTGTGCCGGTCCTGCTGATGCTATTTACATAGGAAAACCGTGCCCTGAGGCTAGGTGAAAAACATATATCGGTAACAAATAGGAAATAGTTATTGAAAAAGCTAGATAGTTACAAAATAAGGAAAGGCCCCAATAAGGCCTTGAGGGCTAGATGTCCTCGACTTTTGCTCCAGCCGCCGCTTCTATCTCTTCCTCTCCTATAAATATATCCTCCTATTCTAATTCCAGTTTCCTCGCTAAACTATATTCTATTAAGCGGCGGAATTTATTAGCTAACCTAGACCTTTCTTAATAGCCTTCGGTTCCGGGACCCTATACCTTATAGTATAAGGCTAAAATCTTGGTGCGTGTAGATATTATTTATTAGCTAGGATCTAAGCTTCGGTAATACTAAGTATTATATAACGAAGTACTCGACTATTTTATAGCTTTCTCCGTAAGTATAGTAGGAGGTAGTTAGGTATAGGATTTATTATTTAAATAAAAAGTTTATTATAAATATAATATAGATACCTATAAAGAATAATTAATAGGGAAAAGGAGGTATCGTAATTAATTAAGAGAAAGGAGGATAAATTAATAAGAGGTAAATTATCCGGGATATAAAAGAATTATAAGTGATTTTTAGGAATTATTTATAATTTTTAAAAGTCGGTTATAATCCGGGGAAAAATAAAATAATTTAAGTTTAATATTAGGTTTATATATACTGTAACGAACCTCTATATAGAACCTCTAAAAGGAATACTAGTTAAAGGTAACTTCTAACAATTAGTTCGGTGTAGCTAAACAGTGCATAATAAAATATCTCAATATAAATACTTAGCTACCGTAAATATAAACTTAAATTACATACTACGGAACTATTTATTTACACTAGCTAGTTCCTCCGTATATATAGACCTTAGGGCCGTAAGGTACTCGCCCTACTATAGGCCCGATCACTCCTAGCACATTACATCCTACATTATGCTCGTCGTGCTATACCTCTAATTATCCCTAGTATTTTGCATCCTACAGACTGCTCGTGAGCCTTAGCGCTATAGTACTTTTGCCTAGCCCTAATCGGTTTATTCCCTGACTTCCTAAATAATTAGTTAGGGGCGACCTACGCCCTATATATAGCGCGACTTACCGTTAAGTTAATTGTAATATAATATTTTTTTTCCTAAGTCGATACTCCGGTAATTATATTCCTAAAATAATTACCGATCCCCCTTTCTTCCGTATCTCTACTATAAGTTCCTTTCCTCTATTATCCTAACCGTTATATTTAATCGTATAAGGAAATCGATTTATACGAATATCGACCGTCGCCGTAATTAAATATATTTTTTCGAGAAATTTAATTTTATTATACCCGAATATATTTATTATAAAGAAAATAACTTTTAATATAACTTCCCTTTAATATAACCGGTATTTTTTATATATTAATTCGAGTCGTTCTTATTATAATATTTATAACGTAGATCGTAAATTTCTTCTTTAACCTTTTTTTCCCTTTTCTAATTATCTTTATAGTCTATCCTTTAATTAAAAAAAAAAACGTTTAAATACCGAAAAGTAAATTACTTTAAATAAATTTTTTTATTTTGAAATATAATTATATACCCTTAAAGTTCGAGCCCTTACTACCTTCCGTCGCGAATCTCGGCTCTTTAAGGAGGAAAAGAAAGAGTTTTCCGCGCGGCTTACTACCCTATATAGCTCGCCGGCGGTAGACGTTTCCGTTATTCTTTTTAATCTTTCCTTTTTAAATCCTTCCTTAAATTTCGACTAGCCGCCTAACCTTTCTTTAGACCCGGGCGTGGCTGGTCCTTCCTTCTTAACCTTTTAAAATACCGCCGCTAATACGCTTTTTACTTTTTAAAGTAATTAAAGCGCGTAATACTATTTATATTTAATTCCTTTTATATTTTTTAACTTTATAGTATAGTATATAGTATATCGATTACTACGTTAAAGGCGTAGGTTCGATTCCTATTAAAGTTCTTTAATCTCTATATTATTACTATTTAATAGTAATTTAGAGACTCGTCTTTTTTATTTAAATTTAAGTCGGTCTAAATATCGTTAATAAAATTCTTTTTATTTATTTAAGTAATTAAAGTATATTTATAATTCTTATAAATTATTTATAACCGGATATTTTAATTAATTAATTAAATATTTTAATTAATTTTTATTAAATTATAAATTTAATATTTTTTTTATATTATATTTTTTTTTTTCGTTTTCCGCTATTACTTATATATTAACCTTATTTACCGGTAATATAAGTTTTAAAAGTAAAATATAAAAAATATATAATTATAAATATATTATATTAAGTAACTTTAATTTAAATACCGTTTTTAAGATCTTCCTTTTAACTTTAAATAGGCTTACTTTCCTATAGTTTAGTTTTTTATTAAGTTTTTTAATACGTAAATTATATATAGAAAAGAATATTATATTTCTTTTTTTAAAGTAAGGTCCTTCGAGCTTTTTAGTATTATAATATTTCTATATCTTTTCCCTTATAAACTTTAGTTTTTATTTAAATTTATTATAAAATATATATAATTTATTTACTTTAACCCTAACCTTAAATACTTTAACGTTAGGTCCTTACTATAGGTTTACTTTATATTTAAAGTTTACGAAAAACGATATAACTTTAATTATTTTAATTAATAATATATTATATATTAATTATATTATAAATAATAATTTAATTTAATTATTTTATTCGAAATTAATATAATTCCGTAAATATTATTTTATAATTTAATTAAGCCGTTCCGTTTAACCGTCCGTTTAAAAGTAGTAAACCGAAAATACTTTATTTATTACTTTTAGCTTTATTATTAACGCTCTTTAAAATTTCGATATAAATTTAATATTACGGTCCGTAATAAACTTTTTTAATTATATATATATTAATATAATATATTATAATATTATATTTATTAATTATTTTACCGATTAAGTTTCTTTATAAAGTAAAAAATATATTTATTTAATAAGTTTATCGATTACCATTAATATACTATCGTATTTAACGCTAGTTACTATATTTTTAAATTTTAATAATTTAATAATAAAGTTTATTATAATTAAACTCTATAATCGTTTTATTATTAATAATAGCTTTAAAAATTTATAAGGTTTGTGCCTCGTAATTTTTATTTTTTCGTACGTATAGTATAATTAAATAGTTTCTTTAACGTTATTTTTAATCTTTAGTTAATTAAAATATTATTTAATCTTTTTTATAGTCTTTACGATATTTATATATCTTCCGAACTTCAATCTATAAATTTTTATTATTAATATCGTCCTATTACTTAGTATTACGTACGCTCGATTCTTATACTATAATTTTCCCTAATTATCCTTTTAAATATTTTATAGTTCCAGCTCTTCCTATTAATATTACTCCGTAATATCGTTACTTAATTTCCTTTAATATTTATTAAAAATAATTTTTTTATAATATATTATATAATACTTTATTTATAATTATAATAAATATTTAAAAGTACCGTTTAACGTTTTTTTAAGTAATAATAGTAATTCTTTAAATATATCTTTATAATAATCGGCCCGCCGGTTAAATATATTTACTCTAACGTTTTCCGAACTTTTTTTATAATTAATTTAAAAATTAAATTCCGAAAAAAAA